AAACAAAAAATTTAAATACTGTAAAATCATTAAATTCCTTTAAGTTTATAATAAAAAATGAAATTTTTAAATTAGATAAATAGTTTTCTTGATTTTTCGAAATGAAAATAGAGTTCCATTATTCTTAGTTTTTTTACTTGTTAATTGGCTCTTATTTTGATATTTAACAGAGTTGCCAGTATATTTAAATGAATATTGATAAAACTATATGATATTATTTACTTTCTTGATTTAATGGAAATATTAATGCAAACTTTAACCTTTTTATAAAATTAGAGATACTATTTTTTTTAACTTGTAAAGCCCACCTAGGGGCTCTATGAAAAGATTGTGTTGACTTTAGTCATCCGTATCTTCTTTGAGCACCTGCCTGTTTTTTATAAATTCACTTTTTTTGTATGTAAACGTTTCTTTGTAATCTATCAAAATCTGTTATTTATGTTTAAAATTTATAACAACATGCTTCCAACATATTTTCAGCCTCATTTCACCTTAATTAATCACAAATACTCTACAAGATATTCCATTAGCAATTTTCTCATACCTACAACATCCCTTAGAAAAACAGACTTCTCAATAACATTTCGAGGACCACGTTTGTGGAACTATTTCCTGAATAGAGACATGAAAAACATGACTTCAATTAAACTATTTAAAAGAGCCGTTAAACTATACTTATTAGATTTAAATAATAAAAACATTCTTTTGTATTTTAAAAAAAATATTTATATATTGATTTGTTAACACGTATATATGCTTGTGGCCTATGTATATTTTGTGAACTGTGATGTGTTGTATTATGTACAAAACTTGTAATATTTATAAAACTTATACAACGTATATTTTAAGAAGTCAATACGTAAAACTTTATTGATATTTTCACGAACTTAGGAGCAGGGTGATAAGACACATTGTCTTCTGCTTGCTCCTGTCAGAATATAAATATTTAATTTTTAATTTTTACAAAAAACATTGTAAAATGATTGTTTATTGACGAAATATATATATATATATATATATATATATATATATATATATATATATATATATATATATATATATATATATATATATATATATATGTATATATATATATATATATATAATAATAATAATAAAAAAGTAAGCGACACACTCAGATTAATGTTATTTAATTTAACAAGAATGCCAAAAAGTTGTAGAGTAAAACGTCGAACTAATCTTGCTAGGAAAAGGTGTAGATCTTTTTTCCAGTTAAAAAATCATTAATTAATGAAAAAGAAGTTGTTATTGATAGTGTAAATAAAGAATCTACTCCAATTATAAATATTTTAATTAATAATAACACTGTGATTAACTGTCTGAGTGATGAAAATAAAAATGACGCTTTTGATAATATTGTAAATATTCCAGCATCACATTCAAAAATACGACAAATTGATGTAGTTGAATCTTCTTATAATACAATACTGCCTGGATATAGAATTATAGATATAGAAGTGTTATCTGTTATTTTTAAAGAACTCATTAGTCCAATGTGCTTCAATGAAGACTCTCTTTTGTTGTCTGACAACTTAAAAGATCAACATGAATTTGCCTCTTTTTTAGTTTTAAAATTTTCAGTTTATTTCGTAAAAATATTTGTACTTCATAAAAAGTGGTAAGCAGGGATACGACATGATTAAGCAAGCTATTTACACAATGCGGTCGTTGGTCACGCAGGACTTGAAAAATTCACTTCTTTAATGAATATTCCTCCGCCAATGACTAAAAATAACTATGACAAACTTGCTAAAACAATCTCTAAAGTTGTAAAAAAAGTAGCAATAGAAACTATGTGTGATGCTGTTCCGGAAATCAGACGCGATTTTAATATTGATACTGGTGTTTCATGTGATGGGACATGGCAACGACGAGGTTTTTCATCATATAATGGCGTAATGGCTGCAATATCTATTAATAGTAGAAAGGTATTGGGCGTAGAACCAATGAGTAGAGTTTGTAAAGCTTGTATTTTAATAGAACCAAAAAGTGAACCTTTACATTTTGCTGAGTGGAGAAACGTATATAAGTGTGCATATGACTACAAAGGGTCTGCTGGGGGTATGGAACCAGTTAGTATGAAAAAAATATTTGAACGTTCTATTACAAAACGCAAGCTTCGCTAAGTAAACTATTATGTGATGGGGACAGTAAGAGCTATTTAAATGTTATGAATGTCTACCCTGGTTTGGAAGTAAAAAAACTTGAGTGTGTTGGACATTATCAAAAACGTATAGGTACAAGATTAAGAAAGTTGAAGAAAAAAACTAAAAACTTTTGTGGTAGAGGTAAACTAACAGATGCGACAAGTGATCGGTTGCAAAGTTATTTTGGTATTACAATTAGGAGATTTAGCATCTATGAAAGCTAGTACTCTGGCATCACTTTATCATGTTGCCTCCAACAAGGAGAATTATTTACATTTTCCACATTGCCCAGTAGGATCTGATAGTTATCTGATAGGGTGCAAGTATAATTCAGATAAAGCCAATGGTACAAATACTTATAAACCTGGACCAGGTTTACCAATAACTATTGTTTATAAAGTCAAACCAATCTTTGCAGAACTCAGTGCTGACCAACATTTGGAAAAGTGCTTACATGGTTAGGACACAAAACACTAATGAAAGTTTTAATGGCACTATCTGAGAGTGTTTACCTAAAACGAAATTTATATCATTCAGTCAATTAGAATTTGGAGTTTATGATGCAGTGGCTAATTTTAATATTGGTCGAAAAGCCTTGATTTTAGTTTACGAATCTTTGGACGTAAGTATATACTCTTAAAAGTTGTAAAAATTCAAACTATAAACGACTGTCACGTTCCAAATACAGAAATATTGATAAAAACAAGTTGCGACGAAAAATTATTTGTGGCTTAAACATAACAAAAATGATAAAGAAAAAGAAAAAGAAAAGAAGTTGCATGAAGCAGGAGGTTTCTAATACTTGATGATGACGAAAATATTTTTTACATGAGGAAATCTTTTTCGTCATCTTTAAATGTACCCACATCGCTCAGATTTTTAGTTGTAGGAAAATGTCGCTATTTAAACACCCTTTGACCTTTTGTGAAGCATTTGGTGAAAGCTTTTTAAGAGACTTTGCACGATTATTTAGTTTTTACGGCCGGTGTGAATGCATTTTTTGCCCATTTTTATGTTTTTTGTGGTTACTATGGCAACCAAAAACCATTTTGTATTTTTTTTTCAAGGATTTTGTTTATTCATATTATATTGATGTTTTATATTCTTGATTTTGTTTAAAATGTTTAATAACTCTGTTTAGGGGGTGGGGATGTGGCTTAAATCTTTATATTATTGTAGGTTATATTTTTATGGTTTGTGTGCGATGCCTTTTCCACTATAACATACTTAATTTTTACGATGACTTTAGATTGCGCGGGTTGTTCATTTTCTTACACTTTTGATTAGTTAACATAATTCGAATGAGGTACCTATGACAGCATTAGGGTTTATTAAAATCTCTAAAGTGTTTTATTGTGTGATTTTTTTGAATTTTAATAAGATTTATTGCTTTCTGATTGTCTTGAGTTTATTTATGCTAAAAGTACCTTAAAGTATAGTTTTGGTTTTCTTAAAAAGAATTTTTTTTTTTTTTTTTTGCATACTTGAGTTATTTTAGTTTAAATATTGTGTTCCTATCGAAATTATTATTTATTAAGCTTTTGTACTTTCTTTCAGTGGTGGGCTAAGTGATTTGATTTAGTTATCTTTTACTATTCAGTGGACCTAAACTTTCAAGAATCATTTCGTCTAAATATATATTAGTTGAGTATCTCTAATATAAAAATATCTTTAACTATCTTGTTTATTATCTTTAGCCATATTATCTTATATTTCTTTGTCATTTACACTTTATTATTCATTTTAATCATCATTTTCTTCTGTTTTTCATTATTTTCTTATGAATCTATTATTATTTTTTTTTCACCTGGTTCTTTGTCAGCAATGTCTATTTTTAAGTATTTATTCAAATTTTGAGTTTTTCACTTTCAGTTTTTCTTTTTGAAGTTTTCTTATTGTACTGCCACTTTTGTATTTTCTTCCTATATCTCTATCTCCATTATATCTATATCTCGTTTTGTTGGTTTTCACATCTTGTCAATAAAATTAAAGATACCTTATGTTATAAAATACACATTAAAAAAAAATGTTTTTTTCTTATAAACCATTTTTAGCAAATATTGTTAGTCAACTTTGAGTTGACTAACAATATTTGTGAAATAAACCTTTGAACAACAAATTTGGTGAGACCATATACTTTAACTCGTTTTATTAAATTTTTTGAACGATGATCAATAGAGCTTTTATTAACACGATGCTGTTGTATTACTGTAATTTTATATGATTTTTTTTTAAAAACTCGCGCGTTTGTTGAACTCGCGCTTTTAGTAGTAGTTATTAGATTATTTCTATAAAAAATCTAAAATTTTGCGTCAAGTCGACTAAAGGTTTGAGAATTTGTAAAAATAAAATTACAAATATTTTTTTTATTGAAGTATTCTAAATTAAATAGGCTTTAAAATTGAATTAAAAACAAGTTATTTAACTTTTTTATTTTTTTAAATAGTACTCCGCGGTTAAATAACAAGTTATTTAACTTTTTCATTTTTTTAAAAAGTTCTCCGCGGAACCCAACGTGAACACACATACGCACAGATATATATATATATATATATATATATATATATATATATATATATATATATATATATATATATACATATATATATATATATATATATATATACATATATATATATATATATATATATATATATATATATATATATATATATATATATATATATATATATATATATATATATATATATATATATATATATATATATATATATATATATATATGGGTGAAGAGTAAATGAGGCCGTAATCCACATCCTTGATGGGCGCCACTAATTACAAGATATAGGACTATCAAAAGATATTCGATAATTTACGATTAGGTTCAATCTTTCGACGTCATCATTTATAGTTCTAATCATTCTAATTGTCATTATACTTTACAACTTGTCTTGAACTGTCGATGTTGCAGTACTTTGTGTAAAATCAAAACAAGAAAGTTCATAAATATAGTTGTAAAAAACTGAGGGTAGAAGGACCTAAAAGAAAAAAAAAAAAGAACTTAAATACACCATTAGAACTATTTGTAACAACACTATTGACGTTATAATATCGAAACAACGTTATAATACTGGTACAATAGAAGTTATAATTAAATGTTAAGAACCTTATTTGAAAGATCTTTCAAAAACTGAATGTGTTTTATTTTATTAGCATCAGAGACGTGGACGCATCTTATAAACGTATAAAGTTCTAATAAATTCTTTCGAACGCCAAACAAACCAAAAAGATTCTTCGAAGATTGCACTGATTGCTTAAATAGCAATGTTTCATAGAGCTGATTTGTGTAAATATTTAGTTTTGTGCGATAGATATCTTGTGAAAAACATAAAACATTCTAAAAACAATTTGAAAGATTTAAAAAGCAGTCAAAGAAAAAAAAAAAAAAAAAATTGAAAAAAAAAAAATTTATATATATATTCAATATTTTTATATAATATATGTATGTATGCATGCATGCATGTATGTATGTATGTATGTATGTATGTATGTATGTATGTATGTATGTATGTATGTATGTATGTATGCATGTATATGTATATATATATATATATATATATATATATATATATATATATATATATATATATATATATATATATATATATATATATGTATATATATATATATATATATATATATATATATATATATATATATATATATGTATATATATATATATATATATATATATATATATATATATATATATATATATATATATATATATATATATACATATATATATATATATATGTATATATATATATATATATATATATATATATATATATATATATATATATATATATATATATATATATATATTAGGGTACAGCAAGAAATTTTTTTCACTTTAAAAACTTAGGAAAAGATGTATTCTTATGTAAAATTAAATTTTAAATAGAGTTTCATAAAATATTATTTTGATCTGACGCACTTTTAGAAATTGAAAAAATATATAAAATCTCATTAAAAAAAATATGCCCTTCATTGTATTTTACAAAAAATTGAATGCAAATAATATGAGTAGACAATTGCAAGTTTGTTTGATACTTGTTTGATAGTTATTATTTAGCATAGATTCTATTCTAGCAGTGCAGATTTTGCACTTTTCAAGGAAAGGAAATGGGGGCATTAAATATATTTTTTATGAATAAAAGGTTCTTTAGACTTTCTAGTTCTTTAGACTTTGTTTTAGAAATTAAAAAGAGGTGATGTTAGTGATGCGCTTTCAAAAAAAGAAACAGATGGTTTATCCCTTATCTTACCCAAATGATATTTTGATAAAACTATTAAAACACTATCAAAAAAACAATAAAAAAGTCTATTGAAAACTTAATAAAATTTATTGAAAACTTAATAAAATTGTAATGTAAACCTAATAAAATTGTAATATAATAAAATTAAAATGTATTGAAAACTTAATAAAATTTATTACTTTTTTAAAATACAGGTAACAACTCTCTATGTTGAGCTCTAGCTCTAATATACCTATCTCTTGCATCATCAAAAGAGATTAAAATACTTTCATGGTTTCTATACCAAAATCCTAACTGGATGTAGGGAGTCACAATTTCTTTTAACCTATCAGGTTAAAAGAAATTGTGAAATATAACCCTAACCCTGACCCTAACTCTAACCCCTATGAAATATAACCCTAACCCTGACCCTAACCCTATCAGGTTAAAAGAAATTGTGACTCCCTACATCCAGTTGATGTAGGGAGTCACAATTCTATTAAGAATGTAATGGGGAGCATCTTCAAGTTTGTCTTTTACTTTTATATCAAAAAATTTTTTAAAGTAAAATTGTAAGCAGAATAAAACAAGAAACTCTTCTTCAAATTCTGCTCAGTTAAGTCATGTTTCTTTGTCCACATAAAAACTATTCTCATACCAGTAGTGAGCCATCTGGCATGACTTAAGAGTAAAGCAGTTAGAATGGAGCAGTTAGAGCCATCTGGCATGACTATGTAAAGCAGTTTTCGATCTAAGAAAACATCATGTCAATAAAAAACACATAGCTATATTTTTTTATTGTCGTTTTTTCTTTACTTCTTATCTAAAAAATCTTGTTACAAGGAAAGCATAGATGCCTAACTTTTCCTTAGAAGTCTTTCAACCAACAAATTAATTTCATTATCTTGTTTTAATGTAAAGTAAACATTAAAATTTTTTGTTGAGAGAAGAGCTAGGAGAAATATTTTCTATGTTTAATTCTACATCGCCTTTTTCTGTGAGCAACTAATAATATTATCATATATCTTACTATTAATATTATTACTTTTAATATATTACCTAATAATATATTTATTACTTCAAACTTATATTAACCTTGAAAAACAATTGCTCATCCTGTAGTTTTTTTAAATTCTTTTCTGGTAAGCTTCTTCATCACTGACTTTTTTTTTTTGATTTTTTATTGTCTCAATTTTATCAGCATGTCCCATCTACATGTCGGTCTTTTTACTTGTCTTATTTCTTTGACTTTATAACCATCTGAGCTCCATAGTTACAATTTTTTTTTATAGTTAGATTTTTTTTAGTAATAATACAGGTGCAACCTATATTTCAACATTTTCAACTTTCTTCCAAAGTTTTTTTATTCAACAATATAACGATTTCTCACCAATAAATAACTAGTTGTTGAAACTTAACAATTGCTTTTGTCCATTGAGCAAAAACAAGTGGAACTAGATCTTACAGAGATCATGCAAGATCTCTGTTAGAATATTTGTTTTGGTGTATAATCTATCAATAAAATTCCTTTTTGAATAATTCTGTTTGTAAGCAGCTCACTAACAATTCTGTTTGTAAGCAGCTCACTAACTGTTCTGTTTGTAAGCAGCTCACTAGAAATAAAATTCTTTCCAGGTCCAATAAATTGAAATTCTAGTGACGGATGATTGTCTAGTTTTAGCTTTTGACATAATTTATGAATAGCTCGATTAAATAACAAATTAAATAGCAATAAACTACAATCTTATAATGATTTTAAACGGCGGAGAGCTAAGTTAAAATCTATTTTAAAATTGATTTGGCACTGGGCTCTTTATGGGCTCATACATAAAAACGGGTTATATTTATTTTATACTAATTTAATTTTATTTTGATGTCTAATTGTGAAAATTTGGGTATCAAGACATTTTCTAATCAAAAAGCGGTCCATAGCAAACCTACCTTAAAATTTAATTTTACATAAGAATATACTTTTTCCTAAGCTTAAATTTTATTTTTTTAAAAACATCTATATATATATATATATATATATATATATATATATATATATATATATATATATATATATATATATACTTTGAGTGAAAAAGCAGCAAGATCGATAACGACACTTTCTTCAATATACAAGTTGGCTGCTTCTTGTTCGAATAAAAGTAGCTCACTAAAAAAATCCAAATAATCTGTTTTGGGTATTATTAGTTAATAAAAATTGGAAATGACAAAAACACAGTAGCTTAGGTTTTAAAAAATTAAGTAAGCATTTTTAATTAAATTAGATAAAATTCATTAAGAGTGGGGATTAAAAAAGGTTGATTTGTAAAATTGACTTACCTGTCCCGTCTAATCTGACCCTTTAGGGGTTGTCCATAAATTACGCCACACTATTTCGTCACGCTGGACGACCCTTTAAACCTTCTGATTAACTTATAAAGATTTAATAAAAATCAAAAAACTTTTTTTGTATCAAAGTTAGAAGCAATATTATTTTTTTAATTTTTACGACATCGGAAATATTTTTCAAGACATTGGAAACATTTTTCACAACATTGGAAATAAATGTCTAATACAAAAGAAACAAGAGATTTCTGCAAATTCAGAAATTGTTAAAAAAATTGTAAACAAAACAAGCGGCTAAATAAAGTGTGTTGTGGTAAAAATTCGCAACAAATGACTTCAAAAACACAACAAACTACTATAAAAGAGACGTTTATAGGTACTGTTGAAATGTCAACATAGTTGATAAAACTTAAAAAGAATTTTTAAGATTGCCACTGATAAAAAAATAAATTTAAATCTAGTCAAAACATTTAAATCAATTTTTTTTTAGATTTGACTTGAGGAAACAAAATATAACAAGGAACCAAGGTCAAGAGTTGACACAAAAAAAAACTATTATGTATGTTTGTATATAAAATCTTTATTACTCAAAGTAACTTAATTTACTTTTTAGATTTTTAAATATTTTTTTATTACTTATCTAACTTTTATATAAATACCTGCTATCAATGTCTTTTTCAAAATTTTTACATAAAGTTTCACAGAGCCATTCACATGCAAATTCATTATCTGTTGCAAGATGCTCAACATAAGAAAATAAATAAACAAGAAGCATGTTAGGATGAACACAGTTTTTATTTAACTTTTGAACAAACTGAACATTTAGTGTAGCAATCTTTCGAATATCTTCATCTTCGTCTTGAAGTAGGCGCACACATGAGGAAAGTAACAACGGAAGCAAACTAAGTTAACAACAATTATTTTAAATAATAACAGTTAATCAATATTTTTTTCAAATCTTACACTTATTTTTTTCATTTTCAACTCTTATTTTTTAATTTCATTTTACAAATTGTTTATTAAACTCTTATTGATATTTTGTGTGAGATGTGTCATTTTATTTGTTTGATTTTCCATAGACTTTCTATAAAAATTTTTTTTGTAAATAAAATATATAAAATTTTTTTTGTAAAAATATTTTTGTTATTTTTAGAAAGAAAATAAAAATAAAATTATAAAAAATGAATTTAACAAAAATAAAAGTTTAAACCAAGAAATGTTGAACAGCAGCAACAATAGACTCACACTTCTGAATGTTCTTAAGATTTCTCTGTTAGAAAAAATTTCTGAGTCAATGTCACACCAACAGCAGAAATGTTTGCTTGAATGTGATTAAATTCCACAAAAAAGTAAATTTAAGATTGCATGCATTTTTGAGAGTGACATTGCTTTTGTTAATTAAATCTTTACCCTAATATTTTTATATGATTCTGGAGATATTAGATTAGATGATTCTGAAGATTAGATGTTAGATTAGATGATTCTGGAGATTAGATTAGATGATTCTGGAGATGATTAGATGTAAGATTAAATGATTCTAAAAATTAGATGTTAGATTCTGGAACTTTTGCAATTTCAATGATTACAAAGCGCTTGACTCAAGAATTTCGAGCTGTTGAATTCTGTTGAAAGTAATTTTTGAATTTTCAGCAGAGGGCTAAATGTGTCATCAATTGACTTTATGTGTTTATAAGACCATGCCTAATTTCCTAAATTGATCTTCCATCACCAATTCTGTTCTTTATAAGATAATCTATCAAGTATTCCATTCCAAACAGAACATGATTGCTTAGTATTTCAAATTCTTGCAATGAACTCTGTTTTCTCTGCTACTGTCTCATGTATCTTAAAAATTGTCATTTTTTAAGAGCTTAAAAAATTTGGAAAGTTTCTTTTCTTCTGACACTAATTTTTGTGCAAAAAAATGGTTCAACGTGAACTGTGTTAAGTTGTTTTAAGTATATTACAATATACTCATTTGGTGTTAGAAAAGTGGCATTTAAAGGTATTTACCAAAAAATCTGTGTTTCTGACTGTCCTAAGCAAATATAAGAGCAGCTTTATTCAAAAACTTCTTTTTAATATGTAACTTTTATAACTTAACATAAATACAAACTTATTGATATAAGACTTTTAAACGAAAACCTGTTACCTGAAGTTACTGTAAGCTGTTAGCCACAGGTAACATGGGTGAGTTTTATGGTACCACAAAGTGATTTTTCTTTTATGGCAATGAACGATGATGCAATTTGTTCAGCTCCAACTGGATCATTTTATACCAAAGTTTGAAAACTTGTTGTCTTTTTCTAATGGTGATGTTAACCTTGAACAATAATTGATAAACCTTTTGTGCATCTTCTTACAGTTTGTTGCGTGAATTTAGTTTGAGGATGAGCATCTATTTCTTGTTTTTGTTTGTCTTTCATTGGATGTTTTCATTAAGCTTTTATTTTCCTGTCTTGCAAATCAAACACTCAGAGTTTTCAAGTTAGGAACTTAACATGAGTTGAATCAAAATTAAACAGGCCAGACAATAAATTTCTTTTACCTCGATTTAATTTTGAGCAACTTTGTATGACCCTTATCACAAACTCCTCTAAAATCTTTTTTGTTATTAAAATCCAGTCTATTTTGAATAAATTTATTCATTTTTTCAATACATTGAAAGTTCTCTTTTACATTTTTGTAAACATAAAAGAGAAAAAAAAAAAAAAAAAAAAAAAAACTAATTTAACTCTCTGGTTTATAATATCTACTATGTAATGAAAGGGACATTATTCTAAAACATTCTGAAATTGTAACATTTTCTCTACCGTGTTTAACAGTAGGTAACTGATATTTTGGATTAAGTCTGCTTCCTACTGGATTTCTGACAGAAAAAAGGACTTTTGTCAGCTATCCAACTAATATGATCTCTTGTAAACTTTCTGTTTTCCTAATTTCTTGCAAATAACGAGTTATGCATAAGTCTTCGAACTTTTTTTATTGAGTCGTAAAAAAATATTGTTAGTTAGATAAAAAAATGAAACTATATGGTAATAAAGAACATTCATTCTAGTATTTATTAATATATTTAACATATTGAATAGACGCCTCTATCAGCGATTTTTCTAAGTTTTATTTCATTAACACTCATCATTAGTCTTTGTAACAGATCTGGATCATTTTATTTTATTTCATTTAATTTGCTCTTTATTCTTCAAACAAGTTGATATATGCTACGTGCTCTCCAACCATCACTGTATACCATCTGACTTAAAATAGCCCAAAATATTTCAATTGGTCTAGCCTGTGGAACCTTTGGTAGATTAGTGTATTTTTGTACAAATTCTATGGAATTATCAATAAGCCAATTTTCTGTTTTATTAGCATAATGAGCAGTTGCAAGATCTGGCCAAAACACAAAATTATTATCTTTATGATGTTCTCGAACAAATGGTATAAGTCTTTATTTCATACATTCTTTCACATATATATTGGATGTTATTGAATTCTTTGATCTATGTATATAAGGTTCACAAAATCCATTTGAAGAAATGCAAATCCAAACCAATACCTTTTCTTCAAATTTTTTTTCTTATATTTTACATTATCAGGGGCTAACAATTTATTATTTGTATAATATATATCATTTCCAGGTATATTTGAGTTTGATAGGTTAAAATATTTTTCATCATCCAAGATTATATCTTTTTCATGGAATACTTTATGAACTAATCTTCTCGATGATGTTGCTGCTCTCTGTTGTTGATCTTTTTCATACAAAGGTGCTTTTTGTTTTTTGTAGCATTTAATATCTGTTTTGAAATTAATAGTTCTTGAAATTGTGCTTTGGTTCACCTTAAAATATGAAGCTAAATACTTTTGACTAATACCAGTTGAATTATTTAGCATTTTAGTCAATCGTTTGATTTTTTTCTTATCCATTTTTGGAGGACAACCTGATCTAATCAAATCATTATACACACCATACTTCTCATACCTTGCAAGAATACTAAATACAGTTGACTTTGGTATTCCTTCATTTTTAAAATGTTTATATGTTAATTTCTTTTTATTTTCAATTCGTTTTGCGAGGGCTTCTCGATCAAACCTTGTCATTTTTTTTGTATAGAAGTCTAGATAAAAATTAAAAGTGATTTAAATACATTAATGTTTGATCTTCAAAATAAACAATAAGTTGAAGATTGAAAAATTACTTTCCTTATTTAAATCAGTTTCAAAAAAAGTTCGAAGACTTATGCATAATCCATTTTCAGTGGTTTCTAAACTAGACAGCCACTATACAGATTGTTTTGACATAATCAATGCTTAGTTGCATTGATGCTACAGTTTGCCATGAAACTGACGCATAATTCTATTAAGTTTGACAACAGTCTTGCAAGGGTCATTTATGCAATACCATACTGATAATCTATCAGGCTTTTCAGTTTACTAAAATACTTAAGGTGTACCAGTGTGTGGTTTTCAATAGTTTTACACTGACAAAACTATTGTCAATTTCATGGTTTTGAAATATCATAAAGATCAGAAACTTTTTTTTCAGAAATTTTTCTGCAACTTTTATAATTAAATTCTTTACTCATTTGAAATTTCTTTAACATGCTCCATGTTACCATGCTCCAAGTTGTTACCATGTTCCATACTTACCATGTTCCATGTTTTACTATGTTCTATGTTTTTAAATCTCAAAATAATTGCTATTATATTTAATTAATCAAATTAATTAAATATAAAATTTTACAAATATTTTGACAATTAATACTATAACTGAGTTTGAAATATTTTCAGGTAATTTTATTAATAAATTTTGCAACTAACTTAGCCTTCAATTATATATATCAACCCTCGCAATTAGAAAAAATGAGGTCGGCAATAATTTACCGACCTCAATCTTTTTGAGCTCGGCATCAGGTCGGCAAAAACTATTTGATACAGGTCTAACCATGAAACATAGAAAGGAGGTCAGCAATTTTTTGTTAACCTCAAACACTTACAGGTCAGCAATTAGGTCAATTAGGAATGCTGACCCAAATTCTGAGGGTTGTGTGTGTGTGTGTATATATATATATATATATATATATATATATATATATATATATATATATATATATATAAATAATACAAAAACTTAAACCAAACTATTACAAAGAATGAGCCTTCAGATTGGAATGATAAAAAAAAAACTATTTGATACAGGTCTAACCATGAAACATAGAAAGGAGGTCAGCAATTTTTTGTTAACCTCAAACACTTACAGGTCAGCAATTAGGTCAATTAGGAATGCCGACCCAAATTCTGAGGGTTGTGTGTGTGTGTATATATATATATATATAAATAATACAAAAACTTAAACCAAACTATTACAAAGAATGAGCCTTCAGATTGGAATGATAAAAAAAAGTGAATTTTTTGTATTTAAAATCGAAAAATTCAAATAAAATGAATTATGAAATTTGAATAAAAATTCAACATTAAATTTATTCAGTACAAAAATCAAGTTGTTTGTTAATTATGGTAATAATTAATTATGGTAAATATATTACATTCTTATGAACGCATTTGTGATGTAATATATAACATATAATACATTAAACATACATTTAAAATTTTAGTGCATTTACCTGTGTTGAGTGCATTTACCTGCATTAAAAAAACACCTGAAAAAAGTGATTACTAGATCTAGATAGGCCACCACAATAAATTTATTAAACCCTTAATTGAACAAAATATATTTTTAATAAGGCAGTCAAGAAATAAGTTTAATGGATATAAGGAAAGATTTATAAAACATATTTTAGTATTTATTACATTAGTGAGTACACTTAAAAACACATCATAAAGTTAAAAACTAATGTCAAATAATTAAAAACATCAAATAATGACATAATAATGATAACAATGCTAACAATTAAAATAAAATACCGCATTATGTTAAAAATATTTTCATTTTTAACTGATGGTAGTAATATAACAAAATCTTCTAGAAAACCAATAGAATTTGCAGCAGCTAACCGCAAATCTTCAATTTGTTCTGCCATACTGAAACTTTTAATAAATTCACACATGGTTTTCAAGTCAGAAAAATTTTCCCATTCAGCATTTTTTAATCTTTTAGACATAACCTTGTACAAATTTGGTAAAATTACAGACTTTAATCCAGGATATTGCATAAGTAATTTTAAAAAGTGACTTGTAAAATATTCATCTTCATTATGTTCTGTCCAATAAATCCAACTTGTCTTTGGCAGAAAACTTAAACAAGTAAAAGCAGTTTGAAGAAAAAGTTGCGATTGAGAGTGTGCAATACATTTTAATGCAAATTTAGCAACTAGCAATTGTGAATTGTTGCTTATAACATTTATGCACGAGGTAATGTTTTTTAGGAACTGCAAGTGAAGACCAGAGTTTGTAGAGATGGTAACCTGGTAAACCAGATCATTTTCATTTTCACTTTCATTTTCTATAAAAATATTTTTTATAAATTTTTATAATTGCTTTTAAACATATATATATATATATATATATATATATATATATATATATATATATATATATATATATATATATATATATATATATATATATATATATATATATATATATATATATATATATATATATATATATATATATATATATATATATATATATATATATACTTTTTGTATATATATAATATTTTAAAAAATTAAAAAAAACTTTTTTTACTTAGAAAATTTAACAATAGAATTTGCTTACCAATAAATTTATTTTCATTTTTAGCAAAATAAACAGCAACTTTTGCTAAAGATTTTTCAAGGTAAGGCTTGCCAACATTTAAACCTTTACAAAGAGAAGTCAGGGCTTTTTTTACATAGAAAAATGTGAACATCAAAATGTCTTTTGATTTCAAGTATTTACAACATTGAATCAATGTATCAATATATACACTCTGTGAAATACAGCATAATTTTTTCTCATACAAACGGTTTAAAACACCAGAAATAGCAACATAAACAGAGAGGCAACAATCATTTATGCAAGACATTTTGAACAAAATCATGAGTAAAGAATGGATTGTGTTTTTACAGGTACTAACTATTAATTCAGAGTAAATTTCTTCACAAAAGATTGCATATCTTGACATTGGTGTAAAAGCAAGAATGGCTTTAGTAGTCAAATCGCGAATTTTCCAAACTGGAGAGCTTTTAAAAGACAAAAGATTCAGAAGAATTTCATGAGACCTGAAAAACACAGAAAAAAAAAATTATTATAGATAAAAAGAGTTAAAAAATATTTTGAAAAAAAAAACAAACAAAATAAACCTCTTATTTTGTATTTCTGAAGCTGGATGAAGCTTTGATAAAATTGTTAATACAGGTATAACATGGTGCAATGTGCAAGGAAGTCTGGGATGTGAAAACATTCTTTTTGAGACATCGCTTAAACTACTAACAAAGTATTCACATAAACTTTGGTAGCGATTAAAAAAAACATCAACTGTACCAGCATTTTGGGAATTATCTTCAGTTTGGCTAATTCTTTGGCCTAACATTCTCTGAATTAAAGCCCCTAAAAGTTGCGTAGAGGCATTTCTAATTGACCATGATGGAGATAAAAAACCTTCAATGGTCAAAATTATTCCACGTTCAACATATGGTAATACTGCTCCTCTTAATGAAGTATCTCGAAATATAGCTTTGAGTATACTGATTGCATTAAACTGTGGCAAACTCCTGTCAACATTTTCTAATGGCGTGCTTGCTGTTTGAACTAATCGACTGACAATGTCACATAAAAAAGAACCATGGTTTCCAGATGGTTCTGCTGAAAGAATTGCTTGCACAAACATTGGTATTCCAACACTTGAAAAGCAACAATAAAAAAATAAAAAATAAATGAATGAAATTAAATGAGAGAATAAGAACTTTTTATATTATTTATATATATTAACAGTTTTTCTTAGTTTAATATTTTAACATAAAAAACAAACAAACTATTACCTCCTCATGGTTACAGATGATGTATGTGAAAATGATGTGCAAAATCCAATCGTTTCAATACAGTGTTGCATTAGATCCTGCCAAAAGACAGGAATATTTGAAACACTTTTTGTAAATGTACAAAAACTTGCATAACAAGATTCCACAATTCCCTTGTGACGACATTTTATAAGTGACTGCTTGTAAAACTCCATTATCAAAGTAAAATTGGTAATATTTAAAAATTGGTTATTTTTGACACCTAAAAGTTCTGCAAATGCTGCAAATGTAACACTAATAGATTTCATGTTCAACCAACAAAAAGAGATTAGCAACTCTTTACAATGAACATGGCCAACTTTTTCTGATACAATACTATAAGAAGGACTTTTTTTCAAACAAGAATCCATTGCGTTATTCATATCAGCAAAAGAAGGTGAAATTTCACTACCATCAAAACTGTCTGAATTCATAAGTAGCTGTAATAAGCTACTAGCCATTGATGAATAGAGTTTAACAGACTCATCAAAAAGTTGATGTTGTATTTCCAAGTTATTATCAAAAAATAACTTGATTATATATGCAAAAGCAAGTACAGAACCTAAAAAACAATCAAAATAATAAATAATTTATTGAATAACATAGATTAGGTTGACAGACGTAAGATTTATTAAAAGTCACCCTATAAAATGTTTTCATCTTATAAATAACTAAGTTACAACAATTATAAATAGAAAAAATTTACCAATAAAGAACTTTAATATAAGTAAACATTTGATTGCACATGTAATATTTAATCAATATATATACATATGTATATAATATATATATATATATATATATATATATATATATATATTTATATACTGATTAAATATTACATGTGCGATCAAATCTTTACTTATATTAAAATTCTTTAATGGTCAATTATATATATATATATATATATATATATATATATATATATATATATATAGTATGGTTCAAAACTGAGTTTTTAAAAAATTACAGTTTATTTTGTTTTCAATATATTGGCGCCATTGGGATTATAACATTAGTAATGTACACATTTTTATGATTTTTACCCACAAGTAATTTTGTTTAGCGACAAACATTTTTTAACTCAGTTTTGCTCCATAGTTGATGAAGGTAATATCTTTATTATTTTTCTCAAATTAATGCGGTAGTGATGTAGTGGTAGAACGCTCACCTCATAAGCAAGAAGCAAATTTAAAAAAATGTGATTTCTAAAAATAAAATTTTGGTAATTGGTCAACCAAAGAAGTTGAGCGCAGTAGAAAGTAGAAACGTGATCAAATACATGACTACTGGAGAAGCAAAATTGACATCTCATTCAGCAAAACATTTGGAACGTGATTTGCAGCAGAAAAAAAAAGTTAGCAGGTGGACAGTGCAGTGAGATTGGAAGAAAGTTATTTGGTTGGATGAAACTAAAATTAATCATTATACAACTGATGGCTGCCAATGGAGCTGGAAAAGGGAAAATAAACCATTAACTTAAAAAGATTTTATTCAGACAGAAAAATGTGGAGATGTTTGACGGTTTTTTATATGGATTGGTACTTATTTTTCGAATAGGTCACAATCCATATAAAAACATGAATAAGGAAATGTATCTTGATATTTTACAGCATGAATAATAGAATACTGTGGAAAATATGTCTTACCAAATTAATGAGGTCATCTTTCAACAGGACAATAACCACTATACACTGAACAAAGCACACTGCTAAATTGGTTAAGAATTAGTTTGAATTTTATTTCTATTTTATTAAAATTTTTTATTGCTTTGCAGGACTTTCAAGTGCTAAAATAGCCAGCATAAAGTCCTGATTTGAACCCAATTGAAAATTTGGGGCCACAATTAAATAAAGCGGTCATTAATAACTATTCTGACCCTCCATCATTCATTAATGTGTTATACGAATAAGTTCAAGAACAGTGGGAAAATATTTAATTAAACTTATGTAAAAATCTTGTAAAGAGCATAAACAGAAGGCCCTCTTTAGAAATGGTCCAAAAATATGTTGTAAATGTTGTTGGACCTGCTCTAACTGCTAAACTTGAGCCTCTGTTTACTTATCATAAGATCTCATTTTTATATTATACGATTGCATCTCTTTTTTTATATTATATTGCATCTTTTTTCATTATATTTTCAATATACTACCATGGTAGCTGCTCAAGTTAGCTATCTTGTTTCATTAATCAAAACTCAATTTCTCATAACTTATTATTTAGCTTGCATCCTTTTACTATTGTTCATTCTTGAAAAACTTTTCAAGCATGAAGGAAGAATTCATATTGTTTTTTGCCTCAAACATGTTTTTGTTCTTTTTCTTTTTTTCTTTTTCCATCTTCATATTTTACCAACTCACATAATTTACAGTTTTTTTTACGTCTTTTATCACTTTCTTTAACTCTCATCTTAATTTTGTATTGATTTAATTGGTGGCAGCCTTGTTGGTAGCAGCCATGTTGAAACTGAATTTGTTTAGATAAAAGAAAAAAACCATTATGCTCTAGACAAAGAAATAAGATAATTAGAAAATAATTTTATTTTCTAATTATCTTATATCTGATGACATTCAAGTTAATCAATAATTATCCAGAAAAAAATAGAAAACCTATTGAACCAACCCATAAACTCAATTTATGGAATTCAATAAGTATCGAATGTTATTGAACGTTTGATCAAAAACATTGAACATTTTTTCTAGTTTTTTTTTGAACCAAGCATGTTTTTAAAATTTACAGGGTCTTTCCTCAACTTAAATCAAGCTTTAGTTTTTGTCTAAATAATGTTACAGTTAATACAACTGCTATTAGACAAGTTGAAAATAATGGCTGCCAAAATTAAATTTATAGTTTTATTTTGTGGTGCTAAAAAATTTCCAGATAAAACAGATCATAAAGTAAAAGAAAGTAGTTTTGTTTTTACTTTTACTATATCTGCAATCTTTACAAGATTTATTTATAGGGAGTTATTTATATCATAATGCCAACATTAATTTTTTATATATAAGAAACTATGCTTTTCTTTTTCTTTATTTATAGCTAACCTACTAATGTGGATTCATTGCCAATCAATGAAGAAGTACTTGAACATATATGTATAATATATTGTATATGCTATTATTATGTTGAGTGTACTTAACAGGTATGACTCAGCAGTGTTTATTACCAAGCGGTGTTAGTGCTGTAGAGCTAGGTTGTATTGTCAAACAATTTTTTAATTATTCTTGAAATAAATAATAAATAATTAATATTTCATGTTATGTAATGTGTAATTATTCTTTAAAAGAGATTTTTTAGTTTTTTTTACTTTGAAACCATTGGAAAAATAATCTCATAACAAAGTAAGTTTTTATATTTTTTTAATTTAGTTTTTTTTTATTTTAAAAAAATTAACTTTCTATTATTATTGAATCACATAATTATTTAAAAATATATGTTTAATCAATGTTGCTATTGGTAGTAAATACTCTTAATTATAATTATGCAGTTTATTAATCTGTGATTGGTTCATCATCCCAAGATGTCTGCAGTTATAACTGATTTTGACAAATACCTTCATTGCAGTTATGATGTGTTCAGCATTAATTGTTGAGTAAAATTGTTAAGTGAACTTTATTCAACAAATAACTGAACTGCAGTATCACACAATTAAAAATAGGTAAACTGATTTTGAGTTTAAGTTTTCATATAATAATTTTATTTCTTTTTTTATTTTAGATTTATCATATGACATATTTATGCAATTTAGAAGAGCAAAACTGACAACTGTTATGCTTTGTTAGCTGTTAAAGATTTTGTTCATTTTATTGCTTTAGTAAAACCTAGTGAAATTAATAGACTATAAAGAAAAAAGTATATAAATTGTAGATGTGGAGCACACCTAACATGATGTGTGTGATGACATCACACATCATGTTAGGTGTGTTCGGGCAGCTAGTAATAATAATATAAATAACAGATTCAAAATTAGAAAACAATGTAAAAACTAGTTTTTTTTCCTTCATCAACCTTACCAAGTTGTAATGTATTGCATCTTAAAATGTTAAAGCTATGAAGTTCAGATTGAACAAGTAGACATCGCTGAAAAATCAACAGTATATGAATGTTAACGATCATGCAAATGGTAAGTTTTATAACCTTGGCCTTATTCCAGTACATAAAAAACACCTTCATATAGATAAATGGAAATTTAAAAGTCTATATTGGCCTTGTTTAACCTTGATTTAAAGAAATATGTTGCCAGTACATGGAGCTGCATTAATTAAACAACTTAGACAACTTTCACAGATTCATCAATTATGTATAGCACAAGGCAATCAACTACCCATACTTTAAATTTTATAGAAAAAAAATGGTTTCATTTTTTTCCTCCTACTTAGGAGCAAAAAAAAAAAAAATGATCCAATAACAAACATAGATGAAAAATATTCTGATTCTGATAAAGAAATTGAATCTGTTATAAGAATAATTGTTACAACTGAAATATCATCTGAAATTCATATTAAAAACACTGATTTATACTCTTTGATAGAAAAAATCAAAAAAACATTTATCTTCTACTAAAAATGATTTTGTTTTAGAGTAACATGTAAAAGACATGTTTGGAAAAGAAACATCACTTGCTTTCAATTTAAAATCAAGTGGAACAGTTTCCAAGATATACTTGAGCGATTTTATAAGTTGTGTGAATGTGTTGGAAAAAGCTTGATCAATTCAGAAAACTTTTATTCTGCAGAAATTTTAAGTGTAGAAATGAAGGATGCCTTTATTCTTGAGATGAAAAAGAGACTATAGTATATATTCTCTTGTTTTAATAATTATTTTCACAATCCACAGCAAAAGCTTAACACCAGTAAATATGGTTTATTTAACAACACTGCAAAGAGTTCTATTTTAAAGCACAATTCCACAGTGATTTAAGAAAAAATGAAGACAACTTAGCCATAGTTTATCAAGAAACAGATAAAAACAACAATATTAAAAATGACTGTTGTGTTGTTATGACACCATCACAAAAAATAATCTTATCATTGAAAGACAAACTGCATGTTGTTATTAATAAAAAATTGGCAAAAATTCCTCAAACTATTAACATTAATGTATTTATTGCATTTTTAAACAATATTGCATCTACTAGTCTGAAAAAAAAAAAAAAAAAAAAAAAAAAAAAAAAAAAAGTTTAATGAACTATCCTTGAGCATCTTGAACAGATTTATCAAGCTTTGAAACAAAGCATTAATAAAAGCAATAAAACCAACAAGTGTTGAATAAAACCAACAAGTGTTGAATAAAACCAACAAGTGTTGAATAAAAAGAGTTTTTTCCAGTTGCTGGCATAACTTGTATCAAAATAAAGTCTAGTTTGAACGATAAATCACTAGATACTTAACGTTTTTTAAAATCAAATTATGTTAACTTGATAAAATAGTTGATAATAGCTATGAAATTGTATTTTTTTAAAAAATTGGTATTACAAGTGTTGGAAAAAAGTAGATACTTTCAATATTAATAAAAATGCAGCATTTTGCATGCCCTAATTGTTACAACCTTTTAATTTCAAAACATGAGCAGATAAACAAGGGCTCTGCATAGAAAAACAGTTTGAGTGCAGCACTACCAAGAATGTGCTGAGGGCTTGAAGCTTTGAACTTTTTTTCCACCAATTCAATAGAAAAAAAAAAAAAAAAAAAAAAAGAAAACTAAAAGATCAATCTTAACTTTTTTTTCTTCCTTTTTGCCATGTAGTTAGGAATGGTGAGAATATCAGACAAGGTTTGGCAAAGAAGATTAGGGTTTGAGTATGTTGAGCAATGAGGATGCAACTTATTTGGATAACAGCATGTAAAGAACCCTGGCTATCTTTTATCAAACCTGTCCTTGGTCAAATACTAAATTCAGTTGCAATATTAGATAGCAGATCCTAACTCTGCAATGGATCAGTTAGATTATCAGAGAGATTAATAATGAATGATAATCCAAGAAGACATAGAGTAGAGGACTTAATTAAAGTCTAGGAGTCTCTCAATGCTTTGCTAACTTCAACCTTAGCATGGAGTCTTTGTTACAGTGTCTCATAAAATGACTATTTTAAAATTGAACAATTAAAATTGACTTTTACCTAATAATTAAAATTAAATTATTGAATTAAGTAATAGTATTAAAGAGAAAATAAAAAAACGTTAAAAAACAAATGTGTTAAAATAATTAAAATTAAAAAATTTACCAACCATACACAGAATCTGAAACAGCAGCATAAAAATAGTCTTTCTGAGCTTGTGCCCAACTCTTTTTAGCATATGAAAGAATATACAGCGCAAATGCATGTAAACTTTTTGACACTTTAGAATTATCAATAAGATGATGTTGGGTAATAATTCCTTCTTTAGTAGTTACCTGGTGGTTAGAGGTTCCATCTTTGATGATTGGTTGTTGAATGATATTTGATTCTTCAACTATTGATAAAATATTAGATGATATCTGCGAGTTGCTAACAAGTCTAAAAATATTTTTTATTGTTTTTGAAAAATAAAAAAGTTATCAATTGTACTAAATTTTTTTGAACTGTTTTTTTTCTATTCAGGCCAATTCAGCAAACCTGAAGTTGGATGAATTAAAGTACAAAAAAATTTAGCTCAAAGTAATTATTTGAGTTATCCATGGACTTTCAACCCTATATATTTTTCACTGCTAGATATCCTGGGTTCAAATATTGGATACACACAGGTTATCAAGCGGTAAAGTTTTTGGGATTTCATCATTTTTTTTTTAATGTTATTCACCTCCCATAGACTGGTAGGGCCACTATAGTCAAGAAGGCTACTTTTTTGCAGTTACAACCCTCTCTCCACTAATCAACTCCAATAAACAAACCATGACAAACAAGGCTGCTGCACGGAAGAAACAAGTTGAGTGTGGTACTACCAGGGAGATGGATAAACTGTCATCTGTATAAATCTTTACACAGGATTTTACTTGTATAAAATGTCTATAAAGAAATAAATTTTTTGACATTTTTTGGTTTGCTCATACTATTTATTGTTGTTTTTAACTTACCGATTTGCAATAAATTGAATTAACATTGCTCCACTTTCTGCTTCATGAAATTTCAAGCTTTTTATCAGCGAGAAAGCAATATTGAGTGTCTTTTTTAAAGAGTTAAAATCAATCAAATATTCTGAAGTAACAAGAGTTTGATGGTAGATAAGTAATTTTAAAGCTTCTTCTCGTATCTATAAAATAAAAGTTTTCAAATATTATGATTAATACTAGTTATTTTAAGAGTTCAGAAACAATTAAAAGGTTCAGAAACAATTAAAAGAGTTCAGAAACAATTAATAATAATAGAGTTCAGAAATAATTAAAAAGATAAATAAATTTAAAAAAATGTTAAACTTTTTAGTTATTATCAATTTATTAGACTAGATGATCAATTTGTTACAATGATAAACAGTACTATTGTAATACTATTATTTATTCTCATTGAACACCATGAAACAGAAACAATGTTTAGTTCCAAATTATTTAATTTAAAACTTGTATCCTTAAAAGTAACCAACTATTACAGCTAAAAGTAACCAACTATTACAAGTCAAAGTTTATTGGTTCTATGGTTATGAAAACAGATAATATCAGTTTAGAAGAATGAACTATCTAGATTCAAACGGTTTTCCAGGATCAAGTTTTTGGACAGTAAAACAATGTTGAAAAAATGCCTAATACATTCATAATGTTGTATCAAAAATGTTTTCTTAGAAAAAGTAATTATTGAGATCTAAACTATTTGGTTGCTTTTCTTAAAACTAACTTTTCTAAGATTGGCTGCTCCAAGTTTAACATTATTCAACTATGTGTTGTTAAAATAAAAAAAGTTAACTATGTGTTGTTAAAAGAAAAAAGTTAAACTACAAGTTGTTAGGAATAAAGCTATTGTTTTAAAACCCATTTTAAGCTTAACCCTTTAAAATAATAATAAAGAACTTTTTAAAATAATAATAAAAAAAAAACAACCCTGAGAGCAATCTGACTTGTCAAACTACTGTTTTATTAGTCTTCTTACTATCATAAGCAAGGTTTTTGAGTCTTTAATTACCAAACACCTAATTTCTTATTTCAAATTAAACAACTTTGATAAAGTTCTCTTTTAACAGTGTTAAAGGTAACATTATAAAGCTTATTAAATCTTTTCCTTAAGCACTTTGAGGTTGGCAGTCAAACACTTTGAGGTAGGCAGTTAGGTAGGCATCGCTGAATGCTGAATGTGGCATTATTCGCTTCTGGCGCTGCCATTTATTCTTATTTTGATGACACTCTTTGATTGTTTGGAAGAGGCATTTAAGCTTGAAAAGCATCTCACTCCTGTTACAGCATAGCCCTATGCTGTAACAGAGGCTCTCAGAGGCTAGAGAGCTTTAACTCAGATAAAACTCAATTTTTCAACTAATCGTTATCAACAATCTAGATCTTCCTATATTTATGAACAGTAATGTACTTGATGAGTCATTTGCCCTTCATCTTCTAGGATTAACTCTTACTTCCAATCTTTCTTGGAAATCATACATCAAATTCATTGCAAAATTAACATCTGCTAAGGTTGGATCTCTTTACCATACTTGCCCCACTCCTGATCCTGTTTTTTATATAAATCTCAAATCTGTCCTTGTATGGAATACTGTTGTCATATCTGGAGAGGATCTTCAAATTAGGCCCTTTCTTATTTAGACAAGGTGCAAAAAAGCATTGTAAACATAGTTGGACTTGCTCTTGCAACCAACTTTCAACATTTTTAACTTCAACCATATTCACTCTTCATAACATTGCTTCTCTTTCTCTTTTCTATAAATATAATAATGGGCACTGCTCTTAAGGCTAGCATCTCTTGTGCCACCTAAAATTCATTCTTGTGTTACACATCATTTAATTAAGTCTCATTCTTTTCTGTCTAGTTTTTTTCTTCACAAATCAGTTCTTTGGAATTCATGGAATGCATCCTTTATGCATCCTTTTGCATCCTTTATGCATCCTTTATGAATTCTTGGAATGCATCCTTTATCTTGTTTTTCTGTTTCATATAATTTACAATATTTAAAGTCAACTGTTAATTGTTATCTTGCTTTATTTTACTTCAATTTTTCTTTTTTAAGTAAGTTCTAACTCTAAAAGCGGATGCCAGTGAAGATGTCTCTATATCTCTTTCCTTATCTCTCTAGTTTTAAAAAAAACACCTAGTGACTTAGTGCAATGATTGACAAACAATGTACGCACCTTTTTTCTGCAGATAAAGATTTTGATTTGCACTTGAAGTGGAGAACAAGCTCTTGCAACACAAGTGAAAGTGGAAAACAAACTCTTGCAACACAAGTGGAAGTGGAGAACAAGCTCTTGCAACACAAGAAAACTTATTGCTTAAATAATGATGATACAAAAGAATCTGTGGATTTATATCTAACCTATTGATTTGGCAAATGACTTGTTATTCTTGTGAGAGGATTTGTAACAATGGAATCTAGATTGCACAGAAAGTGGTAGTGTAGTGTTTAAATCACTATTGTCTCTTTTTTGATAGAAGAATATAGTAAATGCTGCAAACGGTATTTAAAACTCATTAAGCTTAGAAGTTCAAATCACTTTTTACAAGTTTCAGCATTTGCCCAATTATAAAGTTTGTTGATTTTGTCCCATTAACTCACGCATAAAAAATAAACAGTTTTTTTTTGCAACCAAAGTGTTTTGGTTTTGTTTTGACATTTTAATTTGTAAAATAAACTGTTATAAACTTATTTGCAAAGAAAAAATTTTGCAATTGTAAACAAACTTTTCTCATGATGTTGACTTTAAATCTTTTTTAGAAACTAAATTTTTTTTCTTCTTAAAACTAAAATTATTAAAATAAAAACTTATTTTAACATTTTTATGTCCGAAATTTGTGCAAAAATATAAATTTTAGTTAAACATGTTTTTATAGAAAATATTGAAATTTAATTTACCAAATCCCCTGCTTTTACTCAAAAATAATGAATTAGATCAAATTAAATTTATGCAAATTTAAATAGACTTACATAAAGATTTTTTTCATGTAAAATTCATATTTTAAAAAAGAAAATAAAAAGTGCAAAATGTTTCCGAAAAATAAAGAAAGTAAAATTTTTGTGCGCAAACTGAACACAAACAGTTCTTTATAAGTAAGTTTGATTGCCAGATATTGTACTTTTGTGTAAGGGTGAAAGTTGACTATTTTTTAAATGTGAGGCACACCCCATTCTAAAAAACTATAAATATATCTTCAACTAAAATTATGTACATTGTAGACATTTCAAATATGTTGGATTGTTTTTTGCTTATCATTTTTTAAATATATTTTGTAATAGAAAATGCAGGAAAATTTCACTTTTGAAGAAAAATAAAAGCAATAAACAAAATTTTGGCTTTATTTTTGTGTTGTGATCGCTAAAAAAAATTTCTTAAATGATTATAACATATGTAACATATGATATTGATAGACAAATGTTACCTATTTCATTTTTTTAAAAGGAAATTTCTTGAAAAAAAAAAATCAAACTTTAACTCAGCTACTTAAGCGATGTTTTGAAAAATATAATTTAAATTTAAGTTTTGGGTTGTTTTTTATTCAAAAAAAAATATTAATAACTTCTATTAACATAAATTCAAAGGTGTAGCATGACTTTTTAAAAATGTCTAAATAAACTACTTTTGTCTACTTTATTTCCTGTCATTATTTACAATGTCACCTGTAGCTGATCAAAATAATCCTCCACCTTAACATTACATCCAACATGTTTCACAGCTGATAATGCACACTGTTTTATTATGTTTAATGACTTTTCTTTGAACAAACAACCATCTCTTGAAACCAACAATTTAACTTCGACACATCAGTTCACGCTTCCATTCATTGATGATCCATTTTTTTAATGTAATTTTGCCTACTTTAGCATTTTTATTATTTTTATTATTTTTATAATTATTTTTATGATTTTTATCGAACCATTTCAAAATACTTTTTGCATTGCGAACTAAATCAATACTTTCCTGCATACTTTTTGACATTTTAATTTTTATTATTAACCAAACCAACATATTAATTTTTATTATTAACCAAATCCTCTACATTGTTCCTTTAATGTTTATAACCTTAAATAGCTTGGTTCTAGTATCACTGACCTTTTCACTAACCAATTTCCCTGCTTGGACTAAAGTTACAAACTTTTTTAATTGCCAACCTCTTACTTAGATGGTTATTTTTGTAACTTTTTGTGGCTTTTTTTTTGTGTGACTTTCAGACAAAAGTAATTACTCCTTGATTTGTGTCTTGAGTCAGACCCGAGATCTTCCTTATTATTAATTTCAAGTTGTGCCTTACCCTACCCCACTTTCTCTTGTTTGTGCAACTGTTATATCTAATGGCAATTGCAAAAGGCAAACAAAGTGGCTTCACACAAAATGGCTCCAATCTTTTAAAACCCTGAAGATTGCTCTTACCTATCTCTAGCTATCACCTAATCAGTTTTCTTATTTTTATTAGCAAGATCTTTTATTAATAAAAAAACTCATCTTAGGTCTAACAACTAACAATCAACTGAGATTTCTACTGCTGACTTTTCATGGTGTTTACCAGTATAAAAAATATTTCAAATCATTTTTATCTAACCATAGCATATAGTTTACAACATATGGATATGATGTAATGTATTTATTAAAAACACATTACATCATATCCAGTAACTTTCATATATTTGTGAACTTCCTGATAATCTTACATATTAATTAATTATTTTTGCAGATTCTTTTTCAGCCTTGACAAATCTAATTTTTCATGGCTTTTTTGACAGCTTGGGACTAGCAACAATTAGTAAATTTTAGCCCAAACAAAGTTGTTTACTGCTAACAGTGAATGAAATACTGCTAATATTCCTATACTGATAAATAGCAACACTCTTACTAAATCCTTTACTTTAGGTTATCTTAAAATATCACTACTGATCATTTATGGAAACTATTAATATCCTTTTTTTTTTAAAACAAATTCGCTTTTAACAAGGCTGCAAGCAACCACTAATTAGTGTTGCAAGGTCTTGGAATAGAGAAAAGATGAAGATTGTAGAGCAAGACAACGATTGACAGACAACTTAAAAGATTTCAAATTATATGAATCTGAAAAGCAAGATGAAGGAAGCGAATTCCAAAGAACTGATGTTCGAGGAAAAAAACTAGACGAATAAGAGTTTTTGGAGCACGTAGGAACAGTAGCAGAAAAAGGATGAGACTTAATTGAATGACGAGTAACACGAGACTGAATTTTAGTAGATGGCACAAGAGACGCTAGCTCTTTAGAGCAGTGCCCATTATAGTATCTGTAGAAAAGAGAAAGAGAAGCAACATTAAAATGATGTGACAGAGGTTAAAGGTCAGCTGCAAAAGCAGGTCCAACTATGTTTACAATGCGTTTTTGCACCTTGTCTAAAAGAGAAAGGGCATCATTAGAAGATCCGCCCCAGATATGACAACAGCATTCCATACAAGGCCAAATTTGTAAAGATATAATAGAGTAATAAAGTGTTGAGCTCGATAAAGAGATGCAACTTTAGCAAATGCTAATTTTGCAACGGATTTGATATATGGTTACTGAAAGATCAGAAGTAAGAGTTAATCCTAGAAGATGAAGGGTAGATGACTCATAAAGTACATTACCGTTCATAAATATTGGAAGGTCTAAATTATTGCAATAATGATTGGCTGAAAAAAATTGAGTTTTATCTGAATTAAAGTTCACCAGCAACTGTGAGCCCCATGCTGTAGCAGAAGTGAGATCCTTTTCAAGCTCAAATGTCCCCTCCAAGCTATCAGAGAAAATTGGCTTCTTATTATGACAAGAATAAATGGTAGTATTATCAGCAAACAATGCCACCTTATATGTGAGGATATCTGGAAAATCGCTAATGTAAATTAAAAAGAGTATAAGGCCAAGGATTGAACCTTGAGGAACCCCTGAGGTAACAGAATAAGAAAAAGAGTGCTGTTCATCAAGGACAACTTTTATACTACAATTAAAAAGGAAGGATTCAATAATCTTAAAGATGTTACCACATACACCATAAGAAGAAAGCTTATGGAAAAGACCTGCTTGCCAAACTTTATCAAACGCTTTAGAAATGTCAAGAGCAATGGCCTTAACCTCTCCACCTTCATCTAATACGCGATAAAACATATTGGCTATTATTGTTAGCAAATCAGCCATAGAACGAGAAGATCAAAATCTATATTGATGATCAGAAAGAAAGTTATTAAATTCAACATGAGAGATCAAGTGTTTGTTAATTAAAGATTCAAAAACCTTGCTTATGATAGGAAGAAGACTAATGGGACGGTAGTTAGACAAATCAGGTCGCTCTCCAGAATTTTTAAAAATATGGATAACAGATGCTGCTTTCCAGCAGGCTGGAAAACAAGACTCTGTTAAGCACTTGTTGAATATTTTTTAAAAAATAGACGACAGCTCCGGAAAACACTTCTGCAAGACTATATCCTTAAGGCGTATCCTCAAGGCGTAGGCGTATCCTACAAGGCATTTCCTATCCTCTTTATATAGAACCCATTGCAAAACTTGCACTTAAGTGGTTGCTTAAAACCTGTTGAGAGTAAATTTGTTAAAAAAAATAAAGGAAGCTTAATAATCTTTATCTATTCAAAACCAACATGAATTTGGTAACATAAAGTTCTTCTAAACAATAGATTTGATTGTTCTTTCAGCTGGTTTAGTGTTTTTTGCTGATGAAAGTGGGTAAGGAATATCGTGTTTACATTTTCCTACTAAGCAAACCAAACAGCAACACACTGATTCTGTAAATGTTTATGCATAGACATTGTTTTTTTTTTTTATTTATTTACACTTTTGCCGATAAAAAAAAATTTACAGTCGTAACTTATAAAAAAAAATAATTACATGACCGGGGCTAGAAGAAGACAAAAATTCCTTTTAAAAATTTTTAAAAATTCCTTTATGTAACTTTTAAAAATTCCTTTTATGTAACTAAAAAAAAAAATGTTTATTTGAATATCCAATAAAAGACATGTCATTTGCAGGACCATAAACATTTGAAGTATACTTGAAAATTAAAAAAAAATCTTACCTTGTCATGTTGGTCTTCAAAAAATAAAATCTCACCTCATCATGTTGGTCTTCTATACAGCATAGTAAATCATGATCACTAAAAATTACAAAAAATCTATATATTTACTATGAGCTGTCAATTTAAAATTTGAGCCATTTTCGAAAATAATAACTTTAAAAAAATAAGTTTTAATTCCTTAAATTCTTTTTTTTAATTTTGAAAATTTTCAAGTCATCAAATTGTAAATAATACAATTTTTACATAAAAGTAAACATACCTAATTGTCTGTACCTAATTGTCTAAAATACTAATATATATATATATATATATATATATATATATATATATATATATATATATATATATATATATATATATATATATATATATATATATATATACATACATATATATATATATATATATATATATATATATATATATATATATATATATATATATATATATACAGACATAGAATTTGATTTTTTGAAAAAATACAACTTAGTCATGGAACTTAAAGTTTCATGCCATTCGGCAATCATCAGCCATATTTAATTCTTTAAATCGAGAGAAAACCGTTAAAAAATACAAAATACTGAAATTAAGAAAAAAACAAAACAATAACAAAGCAATATAATGAGTTCTGACATCAAAACAAACTATTTTTAATTAGAAAATTGTTTAATCAACAGTGTCCCAATAGGGCAGGAAGAAACTTGTTTCGATGCCTGCACTTAGATACCATTTCACTTTTTTTGTTTAGCAGATTTTGAAAAAATTTTTGGAAAATAAAATTTCATATTTTCCATTTGGGGTTAAGCATTACTTAATTATTACTTAATTATTTTCTTCAACTTTTATTTCCTAAATTCTTTTGATAGATTTCGCTCCCTCTCTCTCTCTTTTTATATATATATATATATATATATATATATATATATATATATATATATATATATATATATATATATATATATATATATATATATATATATATATAGTATGAAACATATATATATATATAGTATAAAACATATATATATATAGCATGAAATATATATATATATATATATATATATATATATATATATATATATATATATATATATATATATATATATATATAGTATGAAAAAAATATATATATAGTATGAAATATATATATATATATATATAGTATGAAATATATATATATATATATATATATAGTATGAAATATATATATATAGTATGAAATATATATATATATATATAGTATGAAATATATATATATATATAGTATGAAATATATATATATATATATAGTATGAAATATATATATATATATATATATATATATAGTATGAAATATATATATATATATATATAGTATGAAATATATATATATATATATATATATATATAGTATGAAATATATATATATATATAGTATGAAATATATATATATATATAGTATGAAATATATATATATATATATATATATAGTATGAAATATATATATATATATATATATATATATATATATATATATATATATATATATATATATATATATATATATAGTATGAAATATATATATATATTTCATACTATATATATATATATATATATTTCATACTATATATATATATAGTATGAAATATATATATATATATATATAGTATGAAATATATACATATATACATATTATTTTTTCTTGTTTTTCACAAAGAACATCTTTGAATTGAACAAAACCTTGTTTCCTGGAAAATCCAGTTTTGTGTTTTAATTTTAATTTTGTAACAAAAACAATTGAAATGTTTAAAATTTTAATTTTGTAACAAAAACAATTGAAATGTTTTTTTTTGTATAAAACATTTATTTAAATAAAACATCAAATAGTGTTATTTACTGATTAGTTTAGAACATCAATAGTCATGGGCCAAGAGAGGGTCAGGGGGCCTCTGACCAACTCCACCCTCCCCCAATCTCCTGGAATTTTTTTTTTTTAAAACATAGATAAAATGAATTACTAATAAATAATTATTAAAATTCAATTTAAAAACATAATTTTTTTTTAGTTTAAGTTAGAGAAACAATTTATTTTTATTATTTCAATTCAAATGCTTACCTCTTATTATATCAAAAACAAGAAAAAGTTTTGTTTTGTTCTTTTTAAAGGTTGTACTTTACTTGTTTGTATTTTCTTAAAGAATGATTGTGAACTTTATTGTTTTTATATTTTTTTTGCAGGTAATATTATAAATAATAAACATACTTAATATGGAGAATTGTAACATTGGAAAATATCTTAACATTCATTAACACAAAACTGGATTTTCCAGGAAACAAGGTTTTGTTCAATTCAAAGATGTTCCTTGTGAAAAACAAGAAAAAATAATATGGCAACCAAATTTAAAGGAAAAAATATTGTTCAATAAGAATTAAATGTTGTTATCATGAGCAATTCTATGGAAAATATTTTGAGAAAAAAATTACAAAGTGAAATCCTTTTGGAACACACAAGGAAAGTAAATTGCTATAAAAAGTAATCTAACATTAACAACAACAGAATTGATATGGAAATTAAATGAAAAACTTTTTATTAATTATAAAAACTTTTATATTTTCAGTTATTTTAAAAACTTAAAACTAAATTTGTTTATTAGGTAATATAAAGATTTCCCTAGACTTGGCAAAATTTTTGCTAGAAAATAATGTTTAAGTAATCCAAAGTTGGAAATTCTGCAGTAAATGTTACAAAAAAGCAGTAGAAACTGATGAAGATTTAAATTCACAGGAGGAATGGGAATCAAAAAGTGTGAAAAAAATAAATTAGATACCACTATCGAATTGCTTGGAATTTCTCCTGTCAAACTAAAAAGTCTTCCAAAACACAGTAAATTGCTTGCAGCAAAACAAAAGTTTGAGAACACTATTGACAGAGTTGCAAAAATGGTCTCTTTAGCATACAACATTAAAAAACCCTTTTTAACAACAGAATAACCCCATTTCAAACAACAACATTAACAATGGCCATGATCAAGACATTTTTATGTATGAAATTAAAAAAAAATTTAGAGTCTGACTCTTATCGCCATCAAAGGTACAAATGTTAACATTCGCACCGAAATCATGGAAACGTACAAAGATATCAAGCTACTTTGGAGTGCCTGAGTATCTTGCTCGAACTGCAAGAAAAGTTAAATCATAGATCATCCTAGTCACATTTTAAAAATCCGGAAAATTGTTTGAATAAAATATCCGGAAAAAATCCAGAATTTGTTTTTCCTTTTTATCTTAATTTTGCTTTAAGTTAAGTTGTTTTAAATTTTTTTTGACACTTTTCATAATTTTTTTACGAGTGATGAGTGAAAAAGCTTAAAAAACAAATATATTACAAAACTATATACCTTAACTTGCATGTATTGAATATGTTTTGAATATCCAGAAAAACTAAAAGTTAAAAAAAATATCTGGAATTATTTGGAAAAATATCCAGAAATATTTGGAAAAAGATAACCCCTGTTAAATATAAGCAAGGAATTCTATCATTGCTAAAAAAACAACAACTGGAAACCCACTTTCACCAGAAACAGTTAATTTAGTTTACTAAATTAACTGTTAATTTAATTAACTTTTATTAACTTTTTTAGTTTACTAAATTAACAGTTAATTTAATTAACTTTTATCAAAGTGATGAATTTTCAAGAATGATGCCAGGAAAAAAAGATTTTATAAGTGTTAAGAATTTTTAACCATTTAAAATTAACTACCCTAACATCAAAGTCAGTTTGTCAAAGTTTTGTATTATTAAACCTAAATGGTGCATTACAACTAATGTGTCAGGTACTTATAATGTATGTGTATGCATACATCACCAAATTACAAAATTTTTCATTGATGCCATTAGGTTGAATAAAAGTTATAAAGATTTCATAACATTGATTGTTTATTCTCTTGAAAATGCAGAATGTATGCTGCATTAAAGTGCATGAAAATTTAAATGTATGCCCTGGTATTAAAGCATTAAAAAGTTTTTTAGAGCAGGAGTTTGGACCATGAGCTCGAAGAAGATGTAGCATTTAAGTAATAGCAGAGTACCGATTGTACAACAATACTATTACAATAATTGCCACTAGACAAATTTAATGATTTATTATGTGATAGCATTGACAACCTTACCACTTATTCATATATTACAAAAACACAAAGTATATGACGATATCTCTGGAACCAATGTGTATTTTTAACTAAAATTTTTACAGTTATTTTTTTTAAATATGGATTGCAAATGAGGTAAAAATGAACATATTCTGAGAGGTAATGGCGTTGAAAATGTTTTTTTTGTGGATGATTTCATACGAGAATGAGCGATTGAATATGAAGCAAGAGAATAGAGAAGCACCCATTATAGTATTTATAGAAAAGAAAAAGCGAAACAACATTACGATTATTTGATAATGGTTGAAGGTTGACTGCAAGTGTAGGTCCAACTATGTTTAAAATGCATCTTTTCACAGTGCCTAAGAGAGAAAGGGCATCATTTGAAGATCTACTCTAGATATGGCAACAGTATTCCATACAAGCATAGATTTGAGTTTTATAAAGATAAAATATAGAATCCTAAGTAAGAAAGTGGCAAGCGCAATAAAAAGATGCAATCTTAGCAGATGCTTATTTATCAATTGATTTGATATATATGTTTCCCAAGAAAGATCAGAAATAAAAGTTAATCCTAGAAAATGTAGGGTAGATGATTCATTGAGTACATTACTGTTCATAAATATTGCAAGATCTAGATTGTTGCGATAATGATTAGGTGAAAAATTGTTTTATCTGAACTAAATCTGGGCTTTAATTTTTTGATTGAAACTAAATAATGAATGCATAACAACAAAATTAAAATGATCGTTTTAGTCGAAGCAATTTGCAGACTTGATAATTTATTCAATGGGTGTTAATTCATAACAGTTTCGGTATATGATGTCATCGCAATATCTTTTAAGATACTACAACCAGAAAATCAAATAATTGTATAATTTTATAATCACAAAAAATTGTGATTTAATAAAAAGCTATATAAATACTTATACTTATAATTATAAATTTATATATATAAACAATATAAATATTTATACTTATAATTATAAATTTATATAAATAATATTATAAATTTTTTTTTTTTTCCTCGTTTTATTATTACTTTGTTTTAGAAGCCAGCTAAAATCACGACACAATTATACATATTTTGTGATTTAATAATCACAAAAGTTCGCAGGCAGAGAAAAAATAAAGGCCGTATGATGCGGTTTTTTTGCTTTATATTTAGTTCATATGGTTTAATAGAGTTGTTCGTTTTATGTTTAATTTACATTTAGTTATGGTTTAACTCTTTCACTATCGCAAGCCACTGGTAGCGGCTTTGGAGTATGCTTTACAATCTTGTTTTGTATACAAATTTCCATTCTAGACACATAGAATTTGTTTGTTCTGAAGGTTTAATTAATTTTCTACATAATCAAGAAAAATTAAGAGCTACATTATAATAATTATAATACAAATCTCATTTTAATACATACTCCCAATATTGTGTACTTAGCGCAGATAAAATAGTACCACAATAGGCATGACATCTTTTAGTATCTAGTTTATAATTAAACTACTACGTTTACTGTAAATATTTGTTATATATTAAATTTTTATTTTTATAAATTTTATAAATCTAATTTTAAATTGCATTCTAAACATTTTTTGGGATTTAGTAAAAAGTTATACAATTAACATGATTTGGTGATTGTGGCAAAAAAATAATATGACATCTTAAAAGAAAAAATTTATATGATGACATCATATACCAAAACTGTTACGAATTAAACATGCATGGAATAAATTATCAAGCCTGCAGATTGCAGCTTACATTATACAGACTCCAAGAACCAAAAAAAAAATGGAGACGGCGAGCTTCAACTAAAACGTGAATTTAAAATTTAATGGTGTGCAAATGTTTTAATGGTGTGCATTCATTATATAGTTTTGATCAAAAAAATTTAGCCAAAATATTTTTTTTAAACATTTTCTTTAATATGAACACAACTTGTCTGGGCAGTTGGGGATCCCTTTAAGCTCAAATGCCCCCTCTAAGCAATCAGAAAGTATTGGTTTCTTATCAAAAAAGAAATAAATGGTAGTACCATTAGCAAACAATGCCACCTTAGATGCAAGAATTTCTGAGAGATGGTTCATAAAAATTAAAAAAAGTATAAAGCCAAAGATAAAATTTTGAGGAGCCCCTGAAGTTACAGGAAATGAAGAAAAGTCCAACATAACTTTTATACTACAATTGGTATTGGAAGGATTCAATAATTTTAAAGATGTTACCAGATACACCGTAAGAAGAGAGCTTATGGAGAATTCCAGCATGCTAAACTTTATCAAAGTCTTTAGAAATGTTAAGTGATAGCCCTCTCGATGTTTATCAAATACACAATAAAACCCATTAGTTATCACTGTTAACAAATCAGCAGTAGAACAAGAAGATCGAAATCCATATTGATGATCAGAAAGTTATTAGATTCAAGATAAGAAAATTAAAGTCTCAAAAACCTTGCTTATGATAGAAAGAAGTCTAATGAGATGGTAGTTAGACAAGTTAGATCACTCTTGAGAACTTTTGAAAATAGGAACAACAGATACCACTTTACAGTAGGCTGGAAAAAAAGACTCTAATAAGCACTTGTTGAATAGTTTTGATATCAACGAAAGCTCTGGTTAGTATAAAAATAGTCAATAGTTAAATGTTTTACATTCATACTGTTCTTGTATACTGTTGTGAAAATTTTACTTCAGTGATAATTTAGAAATATTTTAAATCTGATTTTTTTTTTTAATTCAACTCTCCAAGGCTCCAGAAGAGACACTACAGTCAAAAAAGCTACACATTTAAAAAAAAAAAAAAAATTATTTGTAACTCTTTGTTAACCTTGATAAACTAATTCACTGTACTGGAAACGGTTTAAGTGCTGTATCTCCAGAGATTTAAGGTGGATTTGAACTTTGAACCTTTTGATTGTGGTTCGAGCGAATTACCATTAGTTTAATACCCCAACAATAACTAATAAAAAGGAATAAGTCTGCGACATGCTCAGGAGCTGTTAAATTTTAAAAATAATTGCTTAGTAGCAATTTAAAATTACAAGTAACTAAGAAACCAATTAAACATTCATAAAAAAACACCAATATAAGAACATAAATAATTGATAAAGCTAACTAAAACCAAGATACCTTGATTACGGTTGATGATAGTTGGTTGATGGTTAATAATGGTTGGTTGATGATTGATGATGGTTGGTTGATGGTTGGATGATGGTTGGTTGATGGTTAATGATGGTTGGTTGATGGTTATATCAGACTACTTTAATACTTTTTTTATAAGCATATGTTAAATCCTTTATTTCATGTTTATATATTTACAGATAAGAAAATTGTAGAATGTCAGCTTACCAGTAACTGTCTGAACTAATTGCAGGTTTAGATTATATATTTTTAAAACACATTTTATTGTCAGATTAAATAAAACCAATAACAATGCCAAACAACATATTAAATTTGTCACTAATAGACAAGTAGCATAATTATAAATCTATTTATTATCTAAAGTTGTTGCAAATATATCTCATTTAATATCTTATATTAAGTGTTCACAATCTGCAAAATCAATTGAATAAAACACAACTAAGTAAAATTACAACAATTTCATGTTTTTAATAAATCTTAGAATTTGAATTGAAATTAAAAAAAAAAATTCTCACAATGTTGACAAAATATTCCATCTTTTTTTTCTTGTGACAAATTCAAACAATACTGAAGAATTAACTGTAAAATAATACGCAAAAGAAAAATTATTATTAAATTCATCATTCAAAATAAACTAACAACCAAAAAATAATATTTACCAGAAGGAGCACCTTTATGCTTCTTTGCTTCTTCAGTTACATAAACAAATATATCAGTTAAGAGCTCTAACAAATGAAGACCTAGAAAACAAAAAACTTTGATGAAAATGTACTCAATCTTCCACATAATCAATCCTAGAAAAGGAAACAACAGATGCAAAATTTATCATAAGTTAATGAAAGATTTTCAGAAAAGTAAAAAAATCTGTGAACTTTTTGACCTTGAAAAAGATTTTAACAGAGCACCATGAGAGGTAGTGAAGTGGGCTTTAAGCTATTTAGGTGTTGAAAAATTGCTGACAATATTTGTCATGGCTGTTTATAAAAATAACAGCAATCAACAAAACAAATTGTTTTGGAATCTGTCTCTTAAAAATCTCGGTTTACTGTGGGAGCACATCTTTGGGATCACTGGTAACCTGTGGTTACTGTAGGAGCAATTTTATACAGATAATTGAATAAAATATAAAAATTAATTTAAGATTTTAGAGATAGTGAATGAAAGGATTAACATGATTAAAAGGATTAACATGAATAAGAATAGTGTTATGCGTTGTAAAGTTAAGAATGAACAAGTAATAAAAACTGGAAAATACAAAGTATGTAAAGTTAGTACAAACTCTGTTGTTTAACATAAGCATGTTAAAGAGAAAGTTATCTCTCCTAACAGCAAGAGAATAAAGACTAAAAACAATTATACACAAAAGCACCAGAGATAATGTGAGATGATGGTTGTGTAACATGAGCAATAAAGGTTGATGATGTCCAGAGTCTAGAAAAAAAAAAAAAAAAGAGATCATGATAAATGTATACTCTAAAATATAAAAAGAAAAGAAATTATCTTGAATCAAGAATAGTAAGTATTAATAGGTAGGGTGTGTTATTGTAATATTTATAGATCATCCAAGTCATGTTTTAAAAATCCGGAAATTTGTTTAGGCAAAATATCCGAAATATATTTTCTTCTTAATTTTGCTTTTACCTGAGTTGTTTTTAACTTTTTTTTCTAAGCTTTTCTTTATTTTTCTACGAGTAATGAGTGAAAATGCTTAAAATATATTACTAAAACTTATACCTAAACTCATATGTATAGAAAATATTTTGGATATGCGAAATAACTAAAAGTTGAAAAAAATATCCGGAATTCCGGAACTATTTGGAAAAAGATAACCTGAATATTGTAATCATTATTTTTAATACTATTAAGTTGAAAAAAGTATGGAAAAGGAACAAAACTTTAAAAAAAAGTTTTTGTTTCATTTTTTTGTTTTTCTAATGTAAAATAAAATAGTGAATTGAAGATCAAGAGTTCATTCATTTGATCAAGAGTTCATTCATTTAAAAATTAAATATTGTTGTTAAGATTTATATTTTTGTTCATTTTTTATCAAAAACAGTTAAAAAATTGCCAAGAAGTAAAACTTTGAATGGCTAAAAAAAAAACTTTTCATACATTACATTGCAACGAATTTTGTAACAAATTTTTTAACTGAGTTTTGAAGCAACATTAATTTTTTAAATGTAACATTCATTTAACATTCAACAGTCGTGCAATTTTTTTTTTTACTTTTAATGCACCAAATTTTTACTTGATGCTGCTTATACTTTATGCTTATGAACAAATGACAAATTATGTTAGATTACACCAATTAAACAGTTTGAATACACCCTATTAAAAATTTGATTACAGCCATTAAAAAGTTTGAATTCACCCATTATAGAGTTTGAATCCACTAAATTAACACAGTTTAAAGTGATTACACCTATTAAAGTTGATAACACTAAAAAAAGAATATAAGAATAATTTTAATTTGTTAGAAATATAAACACTGACAAAAAAATAAAATATTTTAAATTTATTTATAAGCATAAAAAAAAAGTTAAAGTTAAAACCTGTTCTTTTTCGTTGGTATGAAGACAGAGGAGTGAGACATGTTCGAACAATCTTTATAACTTCTTCAACGAAGTCTAGACAAATTAAAATTTATGTTTAAACAAATTTAAAAAAAAAAGATCTGAAGATTTAAAAAGTTCACCTATAATTAAAAAATTACCTATTAAATGTTCTAATTCAGAATGGTCTTTCTTTTTTTTACACAAAATAACACTAAACAAACAGTAAACAAACATTAATAATAAGATAAAAAAATAAATGCTTAAACTTATAATTTTTTATTACATAGACATGCGAATTATTGATTGATCGATATTCGTTTGTTGATTGATTAATGATTGATATTTGTTACTTATAAAATTTGTTAATTTTTATTCATACAAATTTCTTGTAATTTATAGAAATTTTAAATAAGACTCAACTAAAAAAATGCAACAAAAAATAAATATTTGCAAAATATAAGTTACAAAAAACAAATAACAAAAAACACCTAAAAAAATTCTAACCAACTTTCTCTAACATTCTTCAACAACTTTTTCAATGAAGAAACAAACTTTTGACGAAAACTGGACGAATCAGAATTTAAATTATATAAAACATACTGTAAAACCATTGATTGGATTGTTAATGTTAAAGGTTCTAAAATATCAAACTAACTTCATCAAATTTTTCTTTTTAAAAGTCAGCGTTTTTGCTAAATAATTAAGACCATGTTTTTAGTAAAAGGGATGTCCATAAATTATGCAATGCTTAACTTATTTAAAAAATAGAAGTAGGAGATCATTAGGTTTTTTCATAGATCATCCTAATCATATTTTTAAAACCTTGAAAATTGTTTGGATAAAATATTCAGAAAAAATCTAGAATTTGTTTTCCCTTATTTTCTTTTTAATTTCTCTTTTAGCTATGTTGTTTCTAATTTTTTTGGACACTTTTCATAATTTTTCTATGAGTGATAAGAGAAAAAGCTTAAAAAACAAGTATATTACAAAAATATATACCTTAACTTGCATGTATTGAAAATGTTTTGGATATCCGGAAAAACTAAAAGTTAAATAAACCGCAATTCTGGAAATATTCGGAAAAAGATTATCTTTGTCTTTAGCATGTTTTCATTGAACTCCAAGCTTTTAAATTTTGGTGTAATTAAAGATACTGCAAGGAAAAACTTTCAATCTTTTTTGTTTTGTCTATTAATTAAATTTAGCATTACATAATTTATGGACAATCCCTAACATCAATACTAGTTTCTTTTATTATAAAGATTTTCCCACTTATTATAAGCATAATTAGATACTGGTAACTTAGCGTAGCAGTGAGATTGCTAAATGACAATCTTTTGTAAGGTGTGACGTGAAAATTAATAACATATTATAGTTTCACTTGTTTACCAGTATAAATTTGTAAATAAAGCAAAATTTCAAAAAAGATGTTTGGTTACCATATTTATTATTACTTAAACATAGTGGTTAACATACATAGTTTAATTCAAATTTATTTTGATTAAAATTATAATAAGAATTGCTGGGAAAACTTTATTATTAAATAGAATCTAATAACACATTGTTAGAATCCATAAATTTTAATACAAAATCATCATTATTATCATCATCATGAAAATAACTTTATTAACTAATAAACACCTGTTAGCTTAGGGTTGTTGCACAGCACTTCAAAAGCATCACTTCGGATATTTAAATCAATATTATTCAAGCAACTTTTTAAAATGTCACTTCGCTAAAAATTGATTGTAAAAATAAAACTAAAATAGTTTAAATGTTAATAAAAAAAACAAAAACATCTTGATAATACCAGTTCTAGATCTTGTGTTGTTATGATTTTATTTATTCTGGCATGCTTCAAAGAAATGACATATGCATGACAGCATAATGGTGAAGACAGACATTTAAAATTATTTTCAAGAATACTGAAAGTTTCTGGCAGTAGCTGGAAAGTAGTTGGGACTAAATACTGACCAACATTTTGACGAACAGAACTAAAGACAAAAAAATTTTTTTTTTTTTACAACTTTAATTTACCACTAATATTTAAATTGATATTTAAACTTGTTTACCACGAATATTTAAAACTTGTTTACCACAGATATTAGAATTAAAAAAAAATTATATTGAAAATTTATGCACAAAAATTTCAATTAAATTTTTTTTTACAGTATTTAAATTTTTTATTTTATTTCAGCCCGTTTTTTGGACTTCTTAGGAAATCTTACTTGTTTGTACTAACAATAAACATGATAAATACTTACATAATAATTGAATCACTTACAGTTGTTCATTTTGCATAGCAGATGATAGAAAGGTTTCAAAATAGGTACACCATTCGATAACAGCAACCTTAGAATAAATAATAAAAATAAATAATGGACTCGATTTTCCTTACAATTAACCTGAAATGAAGTTACACCCGAATCATAGATTAGCTTAAATCTAAATTTGTAGCAAGTCAATCTGTAGTTACATCAAAAATGGCATCTGATGATTGTCTGATAAAGATAAAAATAAAAATTCGAATTTAATTTAAAGTAACTAAACTACATTTTAAATATTTAAAATGCAAAATTTTTAAAACAATTTTTTTAATCAATTTTTTGAAAAATTCCTAAACATTTTATTTTTAATAAGTAAAATAAAAGTAATGACATATACTTTTTTAAAGTTAATTCACCTCCCCAAGGCCATAAAAGCAGCTGCAGTTGAGGAGAATACTTAAGTTGTAGCTACAACGCTCTATAAATCTAAAACACGAACCTGTTCGAACAAGGCAGCTGCGCGGAGAAACAGGTTGAGAATATAATATTACAATACCAAAATAAATTAATATAACTACACAGGAACACATATATATGTATACAAACACATATATACATCAACACGAATAGATATATAGTTATATATGCATATATTACATAAAAAATTACCTATAAAATCTATAAACAGATTTTGCAAGAACAATTTATGTCTAAAAGTTTTAAATTTAGTACATTTTTTATTGTTTTATATTCATAGTTGATGTTTAAAATATTTAGTACTAAATATTATTATTTTTTTTTTCATCTTTTATAATTTTTATTTTTACTTTTGAAGCTTATTTTTCATCTTATTTTTTCTTTAAATTTTCAACTTTTATAAAACACTCTAAAGACAATCCGTTAGAAAAAGCAACAGATTGCTTTTTTCCATTAAGTTAACGAAGTAATTTGTAACCTAAAACAGAAAAATTAACGGAATAAAATTAACTATTTTCGAGTTCTTTGAAATTACGTTATTTCAACAGATTAAATATTCAAATCGATTGAAAAAAAATTGAACTTTTTATGGGTTTCTAATAAAAATTATATAGTGCTTTCTCTGTAGATTATATTTTAAAATCTTGTTTGTTTGATTTTGATTTGTCAATATTATAGTTCTTTAATTATAATTGATAAAGCTTTAAATGTGTTTGTCTTAAACCACATTTACATCGTAGATAAAAGGTTTGTTGCAGTTAGTTTAACTTGCCATTTTTTAAATAGCTTCACATTTAGACTAGCTATTTAAAAAAAGCGTAATTTATATTAATGAATCAATAAAATAAAATCAATAGATTGTATTTATCCATTTGCTTTTTTTACTATATTTTAGTAGAGAAAGCAAATGTGTAAAAAAATTTAAACTTCTATCATTTGTAACTTTGTTATTAAATTTATTTTAAATTTTTAATAATAAAAAAATAAATTTAATGCAAAAAGTATTGAATATATTTTTAATTTTTTTTATATGATAAACTAAAGGGTTAGTCGAGACTGATAATTTTCTATTTTAGATGTGATATGTAGTAAATTATGATATAAATTTAAACCAATTTTAAAATTGAAAATGTTAACATTTCTTTTGATGGGTTTATTTATTTAGGTTAGTTACAGCTAAGTTTACATAGAGCTAGTTTATATGCTTCTATAATTTACAATTTTAGACAAGTGGCATGCAATATCACACTGTAAATTTAAATTAGTTGTAAAACAAAAAATGTTTACTTGCATTTCTCTTAATGGGTATATTTATTTAGGTTAGTAAAAGCTAAGTTTACATATGGCTTGTTTATATGCTGTTATAATTTACTATTTATGTAGAATGCACACTCTACTCTATCACACTGTAAGTTTTATTAGTTGTAAAATAAATCAGTTTTATTTTACAACTGATGAATATTTACTTGCATTTTAATTTTGATGGGTATTTATTTAGGCTAGTTACAGCTAAGTTTGTATATAATTTGTTTTAACTTGTATATTTAAGTTTGTATATGCTTTTATAATTTGCTATTTTAGACACGTGTCATGCTATATCATACTGTAAGTTTAAATTAGTTATAAACTATTTTTTTTTTACATGAAATTTTTTTAATGTTACGTTATACTTAGTTACAACTAAGTTTATATATTTCTTGTTTATATTTATATAGAACTTGCTATTTTAGACATTTAAATTCTAATATTATTACTTTTAACGTGTTATTATTATTAAATAAAAAGGTCAAACATTATAAAAATAACATTATTTTTATAAGCAATTTAGAAATAAAGAATTGGTAACAAATGTTTCCTACAGATTTATTAGTAAAAATTTATTTTCAATTTATATTATGGTATATCATTAGTATTCAATATTTTCTTTATTGTGTTTTAAGGTTTGTTTATCTTTAAGGACTCGAAAACAGTATTAAAAAGGAATTTGAGGAATTTACAACAATATTAAAAATTGAAACCTAGCATGTATACTTGTCTAGCATGTATACTTGTACAACTGTATACTTGTCTATGTTTTTTATATAAATGTTTTTGACCTTGAATATAATAACTGTATTAATAAAATATATATTAAAAACTTTTTATATTTTTAATTAAATTTTTTAATTTTTATTGTAATTAAAAGTTTCTATATTGAATTTAATCATTATAAATATTTAGTTAGTTTTCAATTTAAAAGATAAAGCATTTTTAAAGCTTGCTAAAAAATCTCTCCCAATTATGTTAGCTTGTATATGTAGTACTGGTTGTATCAGATATTGAAATCATAATAAAATAATCTATATAATATATAGATTATATTATATAGATTATATATCTAGATTATATTATATGAGATTTAATTACAAAAATGTCCTTCTTTTTAATATTAATAAAAATAAGGACTATTTATAATAAAATCTCAGATCTCTCTGGCTTAATTCCTTTCTAATTTTAATAAAGGGAATAATAAATTATTCACTACGATGACGTATTAAATACTTTATTTTAACAAAACGCTGCCTAGTTTAATAATTTCTTTATTTTAACAAATTGTTGCACAAACGGAATATATTCATAAATTCAATGGAATAATAACGACGAACTTCAGTCTGTTAAAATTTTAATTCGTTAACATAACAGAAAATCCGTTGGTGCAATAGCAACAGATGCAGTTTGTTGTATATAACAGAATTTTTCTTAGAGTTAAGTGATGTTAGTTGAAAACTATTTAAAATAATTAAAAAAAAAAAAAAAACTAAAACTAAAGACAGAAAAAAATCAAAAATAAGTAGGGTCGTTTCAACACTTATCGTGAGTTTAACAAAAGTTATTAAAATATGTTAGATTAATCAAAAAGTAGAAATGCATTAGAAATAAATTTTTGCAACTGTCAATGTAATACTATAAAGGTTAGTTTAAAATTATTCTCATTCTGAAATTTAAATCATTAATGTACTTATTTTGATCAAACTTTTAAAGCGCAGTTTTCCATACTTATCGTAAGTGTTTCACACTTATCGTATATATTGTCGACACTTATCGCATATTTTAAAATTTGCTTTAGTGCCCGGTGTAAAATGCGTTCGCGGTGTCAAATGAAAAATTAATTCATTAGTAACATTTTATTAAGCGTTTTTGTGTATAAATAAAAAAAAAAGACTGTTAAACAAATATTATAGTAATAAAAATATTACTATGAACTAAAACTAAAGATTTTAAAGCAATTCCATTACTTTAGCACATATCCTTTAAGTTCTTAAACTGGAAAGGATAGAGTTTCATCATAACTATCTGAGTCTTATTTTATAATTAATATCAATATTTAAATGGAACTCGTTTTCTGACTCAAGAAAACGAGTTTCAAGGCTTTTTTTTTTTTGCAACTTTTTTTTTTTCAAAATTTTCATGTTTTCTCTTTCTTTTTAAGTTTTTTCATTTAATAACTTTTTCTCCATTGCTAATTATTGCTTTCTTAATCTTTCTTTCTCTAATTTTGACTTTTTATGTGCAGCTTATTATTTTTTTTTTAATTTTTCATCATTTGTTTGTGACTTTTCTTGCACTTTTGTCTTCTGAATTTACTGCCACATTTCAGATGTTACAACCGAGGGTAAACGTTCTACTTTGCACTCGGACATTTGGACAGGTTGCTTTGGCTATATTAAAACACTTTCAATTTGAATAATGATTTCTGCTGTTATTTTTAAACTGAAAGAAGCTAGTTTTGGTTTTATTACAGCTGCGTTATTGTAATCAGGCATTTTCATATTGGTTATACCTTGCACATTTTCTAAATTACAAGTTGTTGATAGATTTTTTTTTATACCCTGTTGTATTTCATCAGGTAAAGGTATAGTCTTATATGCTTCAGATGTTTTGAATTTGCTGCCACATTATCTGAATGGTCTTATATGCTTCAGATAATACCATACTTTTACCTCTTTTCCAAAAATGATACAATTGGAGGTATTCAATATCACCTTTCCAACCTAAATATTCGTCAGCCATTTTAAACTGCCCTAAAATACTTACATCAATGCACTTTTCAATAAAGATTATGGAAGAGGAAGCTGATAAAATCACACTCAAATGGTTCTCTTCTAAGTAAGGAGCCGGCGCAACAGTTGCCCCAGATAATTTTTGAGCAATTTTTTTGTAGTCAATACTATTAGCATCAAATGGAAAAATTCCGGTATTTTTAAACCACTTTCAATATTATTTTCCAAAAAAAGATTGATTATAAAAGAATTTTATGCTTCTGGGACATTTTCATTTTTTATTTCTTGTCCTTCATGGTCAATGTATCATTGCAGCAAAAAGATTTCCACTTTGCTTTCATTTGCCCAAAAACTGCCACATCGAGCGGCTGCAAAATATGTGTTGCATTTGGGAACAAAGCAACAAGAATTATTCCATTTTTAGAGCAAAACTCCATTTTTCGACAGAAAAATTTGACACATGACCATCAAAAAAAAAAATAACTGGTCAAGGAATTTCTTCTTTTTTGTGAGCAAAAAAGTCTGAAATTCCACCTCTTTTGTATGGTTCAGACCTTGTCACCTCACCTAAAGACAAAGCTGAATTGTTTGCCAAGAACTTTTCATCAATATCATCTCTTGATTCCACTAGTTGCGTTCTACCTAATATAGCCGTCAAACAAGTTGATCCACTGCTCCCTCTGATTGCTTGCAAGGGGCATCTGAGCTTGAAAAGGATCTCACTTCTGCTACAGCATGGAGCTCACAGTGGCTGGTGAACTTTAATTCAGATAAAACTCAATTTTTTTCAGCCAATCGTTATCACAATAATTTAGACCTTCCTATATTTATGAACGGTAATGTACTCGATGAGTCTCCTACCCTTCATCTTCTAGGATTAACTCTTACTTCTGATCTTTCTTGGAAACCTTATATCAAATCTGTTGCAAAATTAGCATCTGCTAAAGTTGCTTCTCTTAATCGAGCTCGTCACTTTCTTACTCTGGATTCTATTCTCTATCTCTATAAATCTCAAATCCGGCCTTGCATGGAATACTGTTGCCATATCTAGGGTGGATCTTCTAATGATCCCCTTTCTCTTTAAGACAAGGTGCATAAACGCATTGTAAACATAGTTGGACCTGCTCTTGCAGCCAACTTTCAACCTCTGTCACATCGTCGTAATGTTGCTTCTCTTTCTCTTTTCTACAAATACTATAATGGGCACTGCTCTAAAGAGCTATCGTCTCTTGTGCCATCTACTAAAATTCATTCTCGTGTTACTCGTTATTCAATTAAGTCTCATCCTTTTTCTGTTACTGTCCCTAAGTGCTCCAAAAACTCTTATTCGTCTTGCTTTTTTCCTCGAACATCAGTTCTTTGGAATTCGCTACCTTCATCTTGCTTTCCTGATTCATATAATTTGCAATCTTTTAAGTCTTCAATCGTTATCTTGCTCTACAATCTTCGTCTTTTCTCTTCCAGTAACTTCCAACACTAATTAGTGGTTGCTTGCAGCCTTGTTGGAAGCAAAGATGTTAAAAAAAAAAATTAAAAAAAAAAATATATATATATATATATATATATATATATATATATATATATATATATACATATATATACATTAAATTGCATGATTGCCTTGTTTTAAATTTATAAAATAATCAAATCTAATTTTAAACTGCGTTAAAAATTATTTAAACAACATACCTATAACAAAAATTACTGAAGAATCTCAATTTTGTTTTAAAAAAAAAAATTAAATTAACTTTGAAACTCAAAAAAAACATTTAAGTTTTATCATATTTAGTTTTAAGTTATTTTTTATATTCATAACATATACAATAATTTTTATTTATTTATATAACTTCAGATTACCGATTTTATAAAGAATTTAGTCAGGGCCTATTCTAGAAAAAAAATTTGGGCGACAGTACTTTCCCCCCTCTGCATCCCTTAGAAATTTGAAGAAAATTGGTATTTCCTCAAATATTAATTTGGGCGCTGCTTAAATAGGGTCGATACCGTCAAAAATGGTCTAAAATACCCCCTGTTAGTTGTGCGATGTTTGTGATTGGGATTTATAGTATATAAATCTGTCTGAAGTGAGTTTTATATACAAACAATTTTTTAGATTGTTACAAAACTAAAAATTTAAAATTAGTGGCAGTAATTAACTATAAAAAGTATTCAAAATACAAACTGGGTATGATTAATTGTAATAATTACAGAACATTTTTAAAGTTTTAGGTCACAAAAAAATCATAACAAGCTAAAATTTTATGAAAAATGAAAAAATCAGATGTCTTATATACAAACAACTTTTAAGATTTTTACAAATCCAATTTTAAAACTAGTGGTACACACTAAAAAAAAGCAGAAGTAACCTAAAGGGTATATCACATATCCTAGTCTTTAAAGTAGAAAATACCCTTTAAGGTAGAGCATTTTACCTTTTACATAATTACACCACATATGACCATTTTAGGTATAACTTTTAAACTTAAAGGTAAGATATGTGATATACCGTAACATAATGGGGTAAAATATGTGACCCTAAAAGTGGAAATTTATATTCTTTTTTTTTTTAATGTGTAGTAATAAATTATAAAAAATATTCAAAATACTACAGTTAAAATAAAGCTTTATTGTTGGCATCAATAGAGTTTGACTTATTGTAATACTGAACAATTAAAAAATTCAAAAGGTCACATAAAAAACAAAATATAGAACATTAAAAACCATTTTCTTTAATTTTTTTATTACTTAATTTTGAACTATTTTTTTATCAGAAAAAGTTAGAAGCAATATCAATAAAAGGCAAGAAAAACAATACTTTTATAAATAATTACCTCAGCAGTTTTTGATGAAATTCTGAAAAATTGAAAACAAAATTCCTTTATATGTATACATATGATGTGCATAATAAATATATATATATATATATATATATATATATATATATATATATATATATATATATATATATATATACATATACATAAAAAACAAACAATAAATATGTGTACTTATTTAATAAAAAGTATGCATAAAAAATAAGTATAAATAGCAAATACATAATTTATATATATCATAATAGTAATAATAATAATAATAATTATATATATATATATATATATATATATATATATATATATATATATATATATATATATATATATATATATATTATATATATATATATATATATATATATATATATATATATATATATATATATATATATATATATATATATATATATATATATACGCAGCAATTCCACGGCAGAAAATGAAAAAGTAGTCAAATTTTATTCTCTTTTTCTCCAACTTTTAGCAAATGAATATCGATGTAGACACATAAGAGTTCATTTAAAATATATCTTTAGTACTAGAATTAATTCAAGTCATTTTTATGCTTCTGAAAGTTTTTTCATAGTTTTTTTTAAAGTTTTTTCTGGTTTTTCTCATTGTCGCATGATAAAAAAGGTATCATGGTAAAATGTTATTCTAACCATGAATTTATTTGCATAATCGGAATTAAATTAGCGTGAAAATGGAGCTAACATGTTCAAATTGTTGCTGATTAGATTTTATACTTTATAAAATATATATATGTTAAGAAAATAACAAATGACTTTTGCAATTTTTATGTATGTTAATTGTATTTTAATGTAAGTTAACAAAAACATGATAAAGTTTTGTTTGTTATAAAATTTAGTTTAAAAACTTATGTTTTTAATAAAATATGTGAAAGAATATTAAATGTTACATTTTTGAATTTAAAGTTTTGAATAACGATGCTTAGTTAGAGCACAGTTTTATTTTAAATTTGTGTAACATAAGTTAAAACAACAAACATTTTCTTAAGTTCTGGCGCTTTTTTGTTAACAAAATGAATTACGTCATTAAGTAATTATCATTTTGTTGACAAGGTTTTAACTGGAACATTTTATATTAGAAGAATTTAGAAAAAATTTTTTTTATGTTATTGCTTTTTTATTTGTTTATGTATTCTTATTTTATTTGACATAAATACACATAAATAAATAAAAATAAGAATTATATAAATATTTTTATTTAAACATTAAAAAAAAAAACAGATTAATTTGATATTCTCCTAATATAAAAAAAATCAGTTAGAATTTTTTTGTTTTCGTTTTAGTAAAACAAATCATTTGTAAATGCTATTATGGGTCATCCATAAAGAATGTCACCCTATATTTGTCAATTTTTAACCCCTTCCATCCTGTCACAAACAATCACATATACCTGAATACCCCGTCCTGCTAAACTCTAATAGCAGTTTTTCTTCAAAAATATTTCAATAGATTTAAATGTAAATATTTTGCAGCATTTTAAAAATCCAACCAAATGAAAATAAGACAATACGCATAAACGTAAGAATTGTAAGTAAAAACTTCAACAAACCAAAGATTTTATTTAAACGACTCAAATAAGTAATTATAAACTTGCAATACTTAAATAATTTTTTAAATTTTCTTGCAGAAAAACTGTTTTCTTGGTCTTGCAGAAAAACTTTTTTCTTGGTCTTGCAGTAAAACAAGGTTTTTGTTGGTTCTTCATTAGATAACTTTCATAAATGTTATGAAAAATCACACAGGAAGAGAGCCACCAGTTTTTTAAAATTTCCTTTGTTAATTATTTTTAATGAAAACGTAAAAGAAATATAGTATAAAAAAAAACAGTTTATTTTCCCTACCCGGTCATATATTTTTTAAATTGGCATAGAATTCTTAAGATCTTGTGAAAGTTTCTAATAAAAACTGCTTTACTGATTCGCAGAAATCTGACATTAAATTTGAAGCAATTTTTTTACCTAGTTTTCCATGTAATGTAAGTTAAGTGCCATTTTCAGTAATAAGCTCGCCCTGTGTATACGCATATACACATATACATGTATATATGCGTATATACATACATTTTTACCAGGCTAAATTTTAAGATAAAAAACTCAATTTTAATAACAAAATGTATATCAATCATATAAAGTTGAGTTAATCTATTTTAGCCCATCATTGAATGTATGTATATATATATATATATATATATATATATATATATATATATATATATATATATATATATATATATATATATATATATATATATATATATATATATATAGTACCTACTCAAATTATTAGACTTAAACTCAATTTTTAACTTTTTGTCTTTTACATATATATATATATATATATATATATATGTATGTATATATATATATATATGTATATATGTATATATATATATGTATATTTATATATATATATATATATATATATATATATATATATATATATATATATATATATATATATATATATATATATATATATATATATATATATATATATATATATATATATATATATATATATATATATATATATATATATATAGTACCTACTCAAATTATTAGACTTTAACTCAATTTTTAACTTTTTGTCTTTTTGGTGTGTCTACTCACTCAAAGCAATCACAACTTATTTTTTTTATATATAATCTATATATTGATATATAAAAAGCACATTATGAAACTTAATACTTGGTGATCATTCTTTTTGACTCCTTTTGAAAGAGCTTTGATATGTCTTTTACTACCTTGTTTCATCATCCCATGTACAATGTAAAGACTTTGACAGATACCCCTGCTCAATATGCATGACTAAACCATTATAAACCCTGGGTGCTTTACAGTGTTTAGAGTACATTTTGGCTTTGTTGTTCTTTTGGTCTGCAACAGACGAATGTGGCTTTTTTTTCCAAAGTTTTTTTCTCAAAGGTAGATTCTTGCTGTATACAACCTGACTAAAGCAATAAATATTGATGTTTTAAATATTTCAAACATTAACAAAATGAATTGAGATAAGATATTAATGCAAAAATTCTAAAAACTTGTAATATTAAAATATTAATTGCTTATGTTTCAGGAGAAAACTAATCGAAAATTTACCTTATTCATCTTGTTAAAGTCATCTTGAGAAAAAGAGGAGAAAAAGAGAAAAAGAGGCGCATCTTGAGAAAAAGAGGTGCTTCTTAGCCCATGCAAGACGTTTTTTAATCATTGTAGGCATAAGTTACGGCTTCTTCAGTGTCTTCAGTTACGATTTTGTTCAATAACATTTTTTATTTTTGTGATCTCTAGCACTTGTAACTCTTGTTCTGCCACAGGATTCTGTTTTATGTGCTTCTAATTTAACCCCCATTTTAAGTTTAGAATTTGTTCCTCTGACTTTAGCCATCATAATTTTGACAACTTATTTCTTTCTCTTTCTAATATTTCTTTGGATGTAACTTGTTTCTTGCAGAAGGACAGTTACTTTTGCATATTTACTTAATAAACATCACAAGATTTACCCAATATTAATCCTAAAATAACTCCAACATTAATTAAGTTATTATATGACTGCAAAATTTAAAAAAAAACTTAAAAACAACTGAAATTTTATTATTTAAATTATAAAGACAATCTAAAAGAATGTAGGTCCCTAAAGAAGAAATATAAATTAAGTTATGACAGACAAAATTAACTGAAAGTTTTTAACTTTACATAATTTAAACTTACCATAACTTTTATAAAGTTGAAAATATTTTTCAAAATTAAATATATCTTATAACTTTTCCTAATTAAAAACAAAAAATGAATGACCTGAAGTTAAATTACACATAAACAACAAAAATTAAACATCATTAATCCCTACCTATCAAAGAAAATCCAAAAAGCTAACAAAATCTGGACATCTCTAATAATTTGAGTAGGTACTGTATGTATGTATGTATATATGTATATACGTATATATGTATATATATATATATATGTATATATATATATATATATATATATATATATATATATATATATATATATATATATATATATATATATATATATTTATAAAGGAATGGCTCCTTTCATTATCAGGGTGTTAGCCAGCCCAATGGCATCGCGTATACCCTGGAGTTCTCAATTGGTTAAAAACTCCCAAAACTCAATAACTTCTTTTTTTTTTTTTTGGCGAAGTAATAAGACAACATACATAAAAATTCCTGTTAATATGTGGGATGCTAACACTTATGAAATTTGCATTTTATTAATGTAAATTGTTTAAAAGATTTCTGATTGAAAAATGACTTCAAAAATGAACAATTTGTTTAAAAACACTACAGACACTTAAGGTTAACTAGAATGACAACAGTTGAAAGTTTTTATAATGCTTCCTCAGAGTTTTGAAATAATTCGAGATAAATCAACAGCAAAACAATTTATTAAACTATTCATCATTGATTATAAAAACATCAGAATTAAATGTTCAATGATTCACTATTATATATATATTTTTTTATAAGTGGACTTTTTTAAGGAACTGTTGATTCATAATAGTGAATCATCACTTAGGGTTACCATTTTAGAATTAAGGATTTCTCTGGATCAATCAAAATTTACCTGAGTGACAAATTAAATTAGCATGATTTGCTTTTTAGCCTTTGCAAAGGCAACTTACCTTAGGAGACAACCTAGGAGAAGAGAAACTCTGATATGTATTGATTAAATAACAGACATTAAATTTGGAAAATTATTGGAAATAATAATTTTTTTATTAAAATAATTTTGTAAAATCGTTGATTAAAAAAAAAAAAAATTAAAATAAAAAAAGATGTTCAATCATCGCTATGACAACCAGAATAATGTTGCATAATCAACTTACCTTATATTTTTAAGAATAGCAACATAAAAGTTATTTGAAGCCACTGGTAGATTGCTGGTACCCATACATTCTAACATTTCTTCATTGAATCGCTTATGAAGGTTTAGCAACTTAAATATAAAAAGATAAATATAAACTATATATTTATAAAATGATTTATTTTTATAATCTGCTTTTATTAATTGTGAATTAAAACATAATATCCACAAGAGGAAAAGAAGGAGGAGGGAAGAAAGTAGCAGGGGGGAAGAAAGAAGCAGGAGGGAAGAAAATAGAAGGAGTGAAGAAAGAAAAAAGAGGGAAGAAAGTAGCAGGAGAAAAGAAAGTAGCAGAAAGGAGAAAAGATGAGGGAAAGAAGCAGGAGAGGAAGAACTATAGAAGAACTTAAAATTACGTATATAAACTTAAAAAACTTATAAGTGGCGTAAGTATAGAATTTAGAAAATATTTTTTGTGTATAATACTGCACTTTTTCAAGAGAGAAGATAAGAGCATCAGGCTTAACTAGAAAAGTGCAGGCAAACACAGGCACAGTTCAATAATTTCTACATTTCTATGATTTTACATTTGAATTTTATTATTTTACTCTTTGCAATGATATCACAAATGGCAGATGTGGTTTTTAATGGTGAAAAAGAAAAAAAAAAGATAAATAAAGATAAGAAAAATCAAAAATTATTAAAAAAAAATACGAATCAAAAAACAGCAACGAACGATATAAAAACAAGATCAAATAATATAAATAGATAAAATGACTAAGGAGAAAAAAGTACAAGAAAAAAACAAAGACTTCCACAAACTAAATACAACGTTAAAAAGTTTTTCTTAAGTTTATTTTTTTAAATTATTTCAAAGATTTTTCATACTGTAATGTATTTTTCTGTTTAAATTGTCCTGTATTTTTGCATGTTATTTATTTTATAATGTAATTTTGTGCGCTGTTTGCATTGTTTTTTGTTTTTTTTTAATTTTGTTTTGTATTCTTGTGTATTGTTCATTGGGCATTGTAAAACATATTGTTATATGTTTTAGTGTGTTACTTGCATTAGTATGTATTTTTTTTTAGTTTAATGTTGCTTACTGTATATAGTTAGCTACCATGTTTATAAAAACAAGTGACTTATTATTTTTGATATCATTATTATCGTTATTGTTGTTGTTGTTTTATTATTATTGTAGTTCTTATGTATTATATGTATCTTATGTTCTATTGTAGTTTATTACTATAAATACTATTTTTATATTTAATTTTATCATTACTATTTGATAATTATTATTAATTAAATATATGAAGATCTGTACTTTTTGGTTTTACTATTTGTTGATATCCATGAAAATATTTTTCAGAATATACATAATTGAATGATTGAATAAAGGTGCCTATAACCATAGCATTTTATTTGGGTTTGCATCTGCAGCTCTAACTTGTTAACTTATTTAAAATAAGATTTTATATATATATATTTAAAATAAGATTTTATTTGATTTAAAAAAACTAGGTTTTGAAGATTTAATATTTAATTAAATAATTCAAAAAACTTTTATAAGTATGCTTTTATTAAAGTAACACATAAAAAAATTATAAACTATTGAAGCAAAAACGACTGCTTGCAGTTGGTGGTATCTATGGTATCTATGGTATATATATATATATATATATATATATATATATATATATATATATATATATATATATATATATATATATATATATATATATATATATATATATTCATATGATAAATTTATCTTTATTTACAAAAACAAATTTATAATTACATAACATAATTAGTTATCAATAAAATATATTAAATTATATTAATATATATTATATTGTATTAAATAAAACTGTAAATTCAATACTAAAAAAGAAATTGTTTAATATTACTTTAGTAAAACCAAGATAAGACACAAGTTCACTCAGCAGAGACCATCTTCCTTTCATATACCATGCTTGGTTAATTAAAATTGAAGCCAAACGATTATAAAACTTGTAAAAAAATTCATAAAAAAAAATAAAAAAAAAGCAAAAAAGTTTACAACACTAACTTCCCAACAAAAACAACCTCATAATAAGTAAAAAAAAACACCTCATCTTTAGTAGTAAAATTAATGTTAACATTAGTGACACGGAGATCACACTCATCTTTATATAACTGTAGTGTTAAAGAAAAAATTTGTTGAACAAAAACTGGAACATTTTCAACCTAAAATAAAAAGTTATTTTTAAACTTACTTTTATCACATACATAGAAATTATTTTAAAAACTCAAAAAATACATTAGAAAATAACAACAGCAAAAAATACATTATAAAATATTTCCCTTTTAAAAAAAAAAAAAAAAAAAATTGATTAGATATTTAAAAAAATACATTATTTTTGAAGCGCTTGAAATAACTGGTGTCTACTTTTGGAAAAAATCATACTTTAACCTTATAAATTAAACTAAATTAATAATAATAAAAATTAAACTTTATAATAATATATTCAAAACATTTAAAAACTAAAAGTTAAAATTATTAAATCAGCACAATTAAATATTTTCGATTGGTGAAAAAAGTTTTGAGACAAACTTTATAGACTAAAAAAATTTTTTTAAAGTAACAAATTTTATAATGTATTTTTTTTAATTAAATTAATTTGAAATAATAATTAGAAAGCTTAAAATTTCTGTAAAAGTCTAAAAAATTGTAAAAAAACATGTTTATGATTGGTGGAAAAAAACATTGTTTGGAGAACATTATAACAATTTAAGCTAAATAATAGAAAATGTAAAAATAATTTTAAAATGGAGGCAAACAAAAAGTAAAGAAAACTTATTTTTTATTTTTGAAATTTTCTAAACTTGGGTTAAAAGTTTCTATCATCAAGTGTTTAAAGTTCTTTTTTTTTTTTAATAAATTAATTGTATTACTTATTAGGTTAATTAAGAGTAAAATATTAAGTAAAAAAACATTAAAATATTATTATTAAAATCTAATTCTTTTAGAATTAGATTTTTTGTTTTCATGAGGGTTTCTTATGTATTATTTGACTTTATTATTGCATACTACCCTATTGCACATATACAAGAAGTATAAAACATAAAGTGTTATGCTTTCAAAAACAAGATGAAAACTTATAAAAAACTATTTGATCATTTACTTTTTAATTTTTTCAATTCAGCGAATCAGTGTTGATCACCTTTAAGTGTTTAGTGCTGTATTTACTTATGCCTTTCACTGTATTTACTCATGCCCTTCAAAGTAATTTTTTAAGAATTTTCATAAAAATGATAATCTATCTAATAATAATAATAATGATAATAATAATAATAATAATAATAATAATAATAATAATAATAATAATAGCAATAATAATAATAATAATAATAATAGCAATAATAATAATAATAATAATAATAATAATAATAATAATAATAATAATAATAATAATAAAAAAATGCAATTAAATAAAAAAAACAAAACAAAGACATTTACCAAATCTTCTGCATGACACCATACTAAACTCAATAAACTTTCCAAGTACAAAGAACTTTCATACATAAATAAAGTACCATTACAGTAAAGTGGAATGAGTTTACAAGTTTGAACATGTAACAACCACAAATGCATAGCTAAAAAAAGGAAATCATTACAAAATCAAAAGAATAAAAAGTATTACAAAGTTTAACTTCGAAAGCAAGATACTTGATATCAGATGCATTTGAAATGATGAAAGGTAAGCAAGGTAAGGTAGGAAAGCAAGATAAGGTAGGAAAGCAAAGTAAGGTAGGAAAGCAAGGTAAGGTAGGAAAGCAAGGTAAGGTAGGAAAGCAAGGTAATGTAGGAAAACAAGGTAAAGGTACCTTTGAAAGCAAGATACTTGATAGAACTATCAGATGCATTTTCACAATACAACCGAATAACTTCAAATAATACATGAACAAATGGGAATCCATTCTAAATATCAGAAAGCATAAATTTTAAGCTTATATAGATAGAATGATAAAAAAATTTTTGTGAAGAAATTAGTTTTTTGCCAACAGTCTTTTTCTAAAACAATAAAAAAAATAATCACTAATTCTGTGCTAAGTTACCTATAAAAAAAAATTTATTTTAAACATGTTTTACATTACAAATTGTGTTGATAGCTTTGGATTTTGTCTTCAGAAGCCCAACAATTAAACTTATTTGTGCATATGGAGATGACACGTTTGACAACACAATCCAGGTGTTTTCAAAGTAAATAGTTTTCTTTTTATATTCTCCAATACTACCTAAAAAATAGTTAATACAAAATATAGAGATAAAAAGATAAAAATAGTATAATCCTAGCAAAACATTGATACCATGGAAATTAATACCAGTATAATCATAGCAAAACATAAGTACAAAAAATACCAGTATAATTCAGAAAGTCTTCTAAGGTTTCCAAAACAGATTTACTTTGATCAACTACATCAAGTAAGAGAGCAAAAACAGTTCCACATAGCAATGAACAGTCTTTGGAAAATCTCTGAAAAATTTTAAAATAATTATAATAAATAAAAATTAAAATAATTATAATAAATATATGATATGTAAAATCTAATGTTTTTTATCTTTAAAATTTATTTCAATACTAAAAAAACAACTTGCAAAAAACTATAGGAACAAACAATATGAAAACAAAGTTTAAAACTGCATAAATATAAAAACCAAATTTTTTTTTTTGAGTCTTTCTTATATGCAAAACTTAAAGTTTAAATTTTAAATCTAAGTTTAAATCTAAATTTTATTTTATATTATTGATACAGTGTAATGTGATAGTGTCTTGCAATGTGATAGTGTCTTGCAATGTAATAGTGTCTTGCAATGACACAGTGTAATGTGATAATGTCTTGCAATGTGATAGTGTCTTGCAATGTGATTATGTCTTGCAATGTGATAGTGTCTTGCTATGACACAGTGTAACGTAATAGTGTCTTGTGCAAAATAATCTGTTGGTTGAACAAAATACCCTTATATGTTAATGGTACAATTAAAATAATTATAACACTCTTATATGCCAGCAGTACAAAATAACCTTATCTGTTAGCAGTACAACCACATATTGAAGTATGGCATCACCTAAAAAATTTTTTTTTTTTAAATTTAATAAAAATTTAAGTACAATAAAAGTTTTTACAAACAGAGGTGCCTTTACTTACAAGCAGAGTTTTTAAGTGCTTCATGCACTGACTTGGGAAAAAACTGAACCAACTGCAAAAAGAGCTAAAATATATGTGCCTATATATGCATACATATATGTATATATACATATACATATACATATACATATATATATATATATATATATATATATATATATATATATATATATATATATATATATATATATATATATATATATATATATATATATATATATATATATATATATATATATATATATATATATAATATGATAATCTAAACAACTATTAAGAAGTTTATAACAGCAAAAGAACTCAAAAATTTTTAAATTTAAAATTTCTATTTCAATGTCTCTCTATACTCTATCTCTCTTTCACAAAAAGATTTTATCGGTCTTTTTAGAAACATGCAAATAGCATTTAATGTCTTAATTATGCAAATAACATTTAATGTCCTAATTATGCAAATAACATTCAATGTCTTAATTATGTAAATAACAAGTTTAGAGAGTATTTTGTGCATTAAAATTTCTAAAGAATCTTAAAAGTGAAAAACAGCAAATAAAAAAAGGTAACTTGATAAACTTTTTAACACATTAATATACAGTATCCAGTTAAATATAAATAAAGAAAAAACATTAAAAATGTGTTACTAAAATCAAATAAATAAATTTACATAAACACAGCCAATACCAACCATATTTAGCCACAGGAACGGCTAAAAAGTTTGTTGATTTAGCCACATTTAGACACGGCTAAAAAGTTTGTTGATATTCGAAAAAAGACAAAAACTGAACTATTTTGTTTTAGAGGGAAGGAGGAGGAGAAGGAGGGGGAAAGGGAAAGGGTAGAGCATTTTAAGATAACTGAAAAAAGCTCTTTTATTATCTCTAACTCATTTTTTTATTCTTTTTTTATTTATTTTATCATTAAGTTTGTTGAAAATATTCTTGAAAAAAATTTCAAAAAATGCCATTAGTAAAATTTCACAAGTAAAAGTAAACAATTTTTACCTTTACAGCTTGCAATGACATTTCATTAAAAGCAGCAGTATTATTTACTTCTAATATATCCTAAACAAAAGATTAATACATTTTTTATCTGTCACATGAGTTTGATGGTCTGTCACATTTTTTTTCAGTTCAACATTAAACAAATATATTTATTATTACCATTATTTAAACAAAATTATTATGACCATTATTTATACAAAAGTAAAGAAAAAAAAAACCTTTTCACAAATCACTTTAAAAGTGTGAACCATATAATTGCAAACATCAATAAAACAATCTTCAACAACACTTCTGGTCAAGTAAGACAACTCAAGCAAACTAGAAACTATCAACTTCTGTTTTATATATTATATTTAATATATTATAAATTGTATAATTTTTCTGTTTTATATATTAAAATTTTTATAATTTTTTAAACACATTTATTCTGAAATTTATTTCAAGGTAAAAACTTAAAAAACATACTTTTTTTCACTAATGAAAAATCAAGTTGTTTCAGTTGAGTCATCAACCATGACTTTAATACTTCAGGGAATTGATCTAACCACCATTTGTTTTCAATTATCTAAATTTCATTTATTGTTATTATTACTACTATTAATATATTTTTATTAAATTTATTCAACAATTTATTCAGATAATCTTATAACTTCTCAGCACTATCTTTTAGATTATTCAGAATAATTATTTAAATAAATTTAATTTGTAAGAGTCATCTGATACAAATAACAATCATACTAAGTTTTTAATGTTAGCTTTTAAATGTAAACTTTATATGTAAATATATAATGTGTAAAGTTTTAAAGATAAAAAAATTTAATACCTTCAGAAGATCTTTTCGGTGCTTCAGATCATCAAGTAGCAATATAAAGTTTTTAAAGTCATTTGAGAAAATATCTTTGACAACTGGTAAAGACTCATTGATTATTGTAAGGTCCAACATGTTTGTTGTAAATTATACTTTAGTAAATTATTAGTATATAATAATAATAAATTATAAGTAAATAATAATTTAATTAAATAAAAAAATTACAGCATTACTATAACAACTAAAGTAACATCATCAACAAAAGTTTTTAATTCATCAAATTTTAATTTTAGTTATAATAATAGAATAATAGTTACAAATGAGTGTTAGGAAATAGTTACAAGTGAGTGTTGAAATAGTTACAAGTGAGTGTTAGGAAATAGTTACAAGTGAGTGTTAGGAAATAGTTACAAGTGAGTGTTAGGAAATAGTTACAAGTGAGTGTTAGGAAATAGTTACAAGTGAGTGTTAGGAAATAGTTACAAGTGAGTGTTGAAATAGTTACAAGTGAGTGTTAGGAAATAGTTACAAGTGAGTGTTAGGAAATAGTTACAAGTGAGTGTTAGGAAATAGTTACAAGTGAGTGTTAGGAAATAGTTACAAGTGAGTGTTGAAATAGTTAAAAGTGAGTGTTAAGAAATAGTTACAAGTGAGTGTTAGGAAATAGTTACAAGTGAGTGTTGAAATAGTTACAAGTGAGTGTTAGGAAATAGTTACAAGTGAATGTTAAGAAATAGTTACAAGTGAGTGTTGAAATATTTATAAGTGAGTGTTAGGAAATAGTTACAAGTGAGTGTTTGGAAATTTGTTTGTTGAAATAGTTACAAGTGAGTGTTAGGAAATAGTTACAAGTGAGTGTTAGGAAATAGTTACAAGTGAGTGTTAGGAAATAGTTAAAAGTGAGTGTTAAGAAATAGTTACAAGTGAGTGTTAGGAAATAGTTACAAGTGAGTGTTAAGAAATAGTTACAAGTGAGTGGAAATTTTAAGAGATTGTAAAGAGTTAAAAAAGTCAACTTTTATATTTTCATACAAAAATAACATTACATTAATTTATAGTTAATTGTAATGTTAACATTTATTAATGTATGTTAATGTTACTAGACACTTTAATGCTAGCTTTGTTAATGATACTGTTCTTACATCAATAAATTCAGTAAAGGTTTCAATAAGGATTTTGATCGAGGTTTATAGCCCTGGCAAATTAAATGTAATGAACTTTTAGGATAATTAAGGACTGATTTTTTTTTATAGCACAACAGTAACTTAAATTCTAGTTAGAAATCCCTAATAACATGTTAAAAAAGAAAACTTAATTGACTTTATTTTTTTGACTCAAAACCTGCAAAAAAATTATATATATATATATATATATATATATATATATATATATATATATATATATATATATATATATATATATATATATATATGTAAATTATGTTAGTGTATTCTATAAATAGAGTACTCAATATTTTTAAAGAACAGAGCATAAAATTAATAACTTATATATATATATATATATATATATATATATATATATATATATATATATATATATATATATATATATATATATATATATATATATATATATATATATATATATATATGTAAATTATGTTAGTGTATTCTATAAATAGAGTACTCAATATTTTTAAAGAACAGAGCATAAAATTAATAACTTACTTATATATATATATATATATATATATATATATATATATATATATATATATATATATATATATATATATATATGTAAATTATGTTAGTGTATTCTATAAATAGAGTACTCAATATTTTTAAAGAACAGAACATAAAATTAATAACTTATATATATATATATATATATATATATATATATATATATATATATATATATATATATATATATATATATATATATATATATATATATATATATATATATATATATATATATATATGTAAATTATGTTAGTGTATTCTATAAATTGAGTACTCAATATTTTTAAAGAACAGAGCATAAAATTAATAACTTATATATATATATATATATATATATATATATATATATATATATATATATATATATATATATATATATATATATATATATATATATATATATATATATGTAAATTATGTTAGTGTATTCTATAAATTGAGTACTCAATGTTTTTAAAGAACAAAGCATAAAATTAATAACTTTTATATATATATATATATATATATATATATATATATATATATATATATATATATATATATATATATATATATATATATATAATGCACACTCACAAAAATAATATAATACATAAAAAATATATATTCATACGATATATATTTTTAAGTTTATAAATATTATTAGAAAAAAATAAATAAAAAAACTTTAATCAATTGATGTCATTTAACTTTAACTGCACAAGTAAACTGTAAACTTTGTTTCTCCAAAGGTTCAAGATTTTGTCTTCAGAAGAACCAGCACTAGTCATGTTTACTTCCTGCAAACGCAATATTTCATTAAGTGCATTCAACCGCACATTTAATAATTCATTGGTGGATTGAAGTACTTTGCATGTCTGTTGCAATTGGTTAATCTCCTGATTCTGCAAAAATATTTCATTTTTTAGAGATTGAGCTTTATCTGCACCTTTCAAACTTTCTAACTTACATTCTGTGAGTTGTTTTTCCAGATCAAATATTATTTCTACTTTTGTTTTTAATTCAGCCTTTAAACGATTTGTTTGTTCGCGCTCCTCAGTAAGTTCTGAATTTTTTTTATCCATAATGTCATTATGACATTTGTTTAAATTCTCTAATACTTCATCTTTTTCAATAATTTTTTTCTCTGTGTTATTAAAATCCTCTTTGGTTGTAGCTAACTCATTTCGCAACAACTCTATTTCATTTTTATTTTGAAATATTTCAGTGATTATTTTATCTTTTTCTTTTGCAAGCAATAAAATTTCTTGATTGTGTGATTCAATAACGCTTTTCAACTTTTCGTCTAATGCTATATTTTTAGACTGTAGCTTTGACATATTTTCTTCTTGTTGGATTACTAAACATTGCTGAGTATAAAACTCTTCATTTTTTTCACAGAGCAACTGTTCAAGTTTTGAGACTTTTTTTACAAAGTCTTTTTTTTCATTGTCTTTGTCATTTTGAAGGACAATGTATTTTTCATACATTGACTTAATTTCTTGAAAATGGTCTCGTTCCATTTTTTCAATATTCTTTTGCAAACAATTTATTTCTTTTTTGGCTTGATCATTTTCATTTTTTAATGTTATCATTTCTTGTATTAGTTTAGTATTTTCTTTTTTCAAAATTGCAAAGTCATTGTCCAGAGCAAAACTTTCATGTCTTATTATTGCAAACTCAATATTATTTTCTTTTAATGCTAAAGAATCTTCAGGTTCTTCAAACGGTTTTTTATTTTTTGACACAAGTTTGTTTTCATTTTTTAGTGCAAATTTTTCTTCCTTTAACAAATCCTTTTCTGGTACATCTTTTAACAAATCTTTCTCCTGTACATTTTTATCATTTGAGTTTTTAACAGCAGCTGCACTTTGAATCATTGAAGGAGAAAGAAAGTATGGTTTTTTAGATTCAGAATAAAATTCTGCATCCTGCAGCCTACAACTTGCTTTTTTTTTTGCTACCTTATCATCTTCACAAATAACTGGTTTAAAAATTTTTAATTTTATGTCACAAACATTTACCGCTTCTTTTTCAGAATTTTGAGATAAGCTCATTGATTGGTTGCTTGGTGATTGACTGCTAAGCTCATTATCTTCATTGTTTGCTTTATTATTTTTAGCATTTTTTTGGCTGAAATATTTATTATTCTTAGAGTTTATTTGTTCATTACTTTTGATTAGATCAAAGTTGTTAAAAGCAGATGGCTTCTTTAAGTTGCTCAATAAAGAAAATGATGAAGGCGACTTTAAAGATTTGTTGGATTTATCCATGAAGAATTTTCGCAAACTATACAAAGAATTTTAAAAGACTCTTTCGAAGTTTGAAAAAACCTTCTTTAACTGATCAAAACCTTTGTGAAATCATTTAAGAAATTCTTTTTAACATTTTTAAATAAATAAAATCATTTTTTTCATTTAAATTAAAATAGTAATTTCTTAAAGATATATTTTCTTTCATTAATAAAATATTATTTTCAATATTGATTCATAACAAATATATCAATAAATCTGTTATTTTGTGTCAACAGACTTATTCATTTATAACTCATTAACTCATAACAAACTTATTCATGTATAGCATATTCATACACTCATAACAATATTTAGTTGTTCATAAAAGATCCAAATATTTATAAAAAATAAATTTATTTGTAAAAAATTTCAATCCATGAAAAAATCTATTTATCAAAAATTTTTATAAAAATGTTTATTCATATTCAATTTATTAATTCATTTATTAATTCATTCATTAATTCATTAGTTCAAACCGCACTTATTTTTTCATGAATGAAAATTTTTGTTTTTTAAGTTAAAAAAAAAAAGTAACAGTAGATTTTTTTTATTGATGTTTCAATCAAAATTTATCCAATAAAAATTTTAACAATGATGGTCGACTTTCAAAATTGAAGCAGAAGCTCCTGTAACTCATTTACATGTTCTTCTAATTCCACAATGAACGGTTTAACTGATGGAAATATCTGATTGTCAATGTCAGTAAATGCTTTCTAGAACAACATTCATAAAACAAATTACCAAATATTTTCTCAATAAAAAATAAAAAATTGTTTAAAAAATAAATAATAATATATTACAAGATAATACTATATTACTGTGATCAAAAAGTAAGGTGAATTTTTAATTTAAACTTCCCGCCTTATTTGAATCGTCCAATCTTTTTTATTTTTAAGTTGGTAGGAATGTCATTAATATTTGCGCCAAATTACATGTCAAACTCATAATTATTTTTTTTTGTTTACGCTTGTTTCTGAAGTACCAAAAGTGCATTCGGCGATTTTCACGATGTCTAATTTTGTTGAGCAAAGAAGTGCTATTAAATTTTGTTTGCGGAATGATATTTCTGCTGCTGAAACGTATCGAATGTTGCAAAAGGCCTTCGTGAAGAGACTATGTCTCAAAAAAATGTTTATAAGTGGTACAAAGACTTCAAAGAAGGCCGAGAACGTGTTGATGACTTGGAACGCTCCGGACGACCATCGACTTCGATTGATGATCGCCACATCAACAAAATCAAAGAATTGGTGCTTGCAAATCGTCGGTTAACCATTCAAGACCTTGTTGACATGGTTGGAATATCATTTGGGTCGGTGCAAGCGATTTTGAAGGATCATTTGGGCCTCAGAAAACTCAAATCACGTTTGGTGCCGAAATTTCTTAATTTCTTTAAAAAAGAGTGTTGCGTTAAAGCGTGTGAAGCAATGCTTTCTGACTATCAAGACGTCTACAAACAAATTATTACTGGCGATGAGACTTGGGTCTACGCATACGACCCTGAAACAACCGACCAATTGAGTGAATACCGTGAAAAAGGCGAGCCGAGACCGAAGCAACCACGTCAAAGTTGCTCAAAAATCAAGGTCATGTTGACTGTTTTCTTTGATTATTGTGGTGTCGTGCACTACGAATTCCTTCCAACTGGCCAAACTGTCAACAAGGAATATTATTTAAGTGTTATGCGACGTTTGCGTGAAGCTATTCGCAAAAAGAGACCGGAATTATGGGCCAATAACTCTTGCATTTTGCACCACGATAATGCGCCTTCGCACACAGCACTGGTTCTTTGTGAGTTTTTCGCCAAAAACTCTACCCATGTTGCTCCACAACCACCGTATTCGCCCGACTTAGCACCGTGTGACTTCTGGCTGTTCCCAAAGCTCAAGAGACCACTCCGGGGAAATCGTTTTCAGTCCATTGAAGAGATCCAACGTGAATCGGCACGCGCATTGAAGGCTATCCCTACCGAGGACTTTTCGGCATGCTTCGAAGACTGGAAAAAACGTTGGCAAAAGTGCATTGGGGCCAGGGGGGGGGATTATTTTGAGGGGGACGATACAGATTTGGAAGAATAAATAAAGATTTTTCATTTTATAAAAAAATTCACCTTACTTTTTGATCACAGTAGTATTACAAGATAATATTCTCTTTAAAAATCAAATGTAATAACTGTAATTTAAAATATTTTGAAAAATATTTTATACCCATTCTTATTTGTTTTTAGTGCAAAGTTTTTCTTTTTCTTTTTCAAAATAAAAATTTCTTATATATTAATAACTATGTTACATATTTTACATAATTAGTATAATTTATAATTTGAATGCATTAAACATTTACAACTTTAATTCTTTATAATTTCAAATTTTTAAAATTTACAAACCTTTAATCTTATAATGAGATTTGTAACACACATTTTTGAAGTTGTACACAATGTTACTGCTCTTCCTTTTAACTCTGTTGACATGGTAACATCTTTTGTAGCTAGGAATAAATTTATCAAATTTTAAAAGACAGTAGTTTAAAAGATAAAAAATATAAAAGATAATTAAAAAATATAAAGGTAATTGTAGAAATATATAATTGAAATATATAATATTTAATAAATAAAAATATATAATAATTATATAAATTATAAATTGTACAACAACAAGTTTCATAATTCTATGATTCATAATATTTAATCATTTAAATATAGAGATTCATAATATATAATCATTTAAATAAATAGTTTGTTGCTCAATATACTCCTTGCAGCAGTTTTTGCCAATTCATTCAGTTTTGCTGATGTCAAACACTATCTAAAATGATTTTGGGTCCTTAGCATTTGCTGTCCATTCCTACATTAATAAATGCAGTAGCAGCATAGTGGTAGCTCGTTTCATAAGTGAAAAGTTACAAGTTCGATCTGCACCACGTCTATGGCAGTACGATGCTTAATATGTTTCTCTCTTCAACAACTTTGAGGGGAGAAACAATTATTTTATAACATAAACATAGGAATTCGAAAGAGTTTGTTAAGTCACAAAAAAAAAATTTTAAGATTAAAACTGCTCTATCAGGGTGGCCCACTCAAATTTGAAAACGAAATTTCATGACTTTTTCATGACACCTCTATAACTCTTCATAAACTTCTGTGATAAATCACTAGAATAAAATAATCATTCTTGCCATGCAATCAGCTGTTGCCATTTGGTCACTAAAAAACTAATTGCTAGAAAGTTCTAAAATCATGTCTGAAAAAAACTGTTTGCATGATAACTGATAACATTTTGACAACTGAAACAACTTTAAAAATAAAGGCACATAATCTTTTTAGAGACCAAGCAGTGACAATAAGAGCGCATGGGAAGTACAATGTGCATTACCCTAACTCTAATTACAAACACTAACTATTATTCAGACTAAAGAAACTTAACAAAAAAATAAAATAATAAACTTAATCTTTATAAGATATATTTATGAACAAATTTATAGCATTTATATGCACATAAAATATATAACATTTAAATGTACATAAAATAGAGTATAATTGCTAACATAACTTTACTCTAAACATTTTTTTCCGAAACAAAACGAAATTTTAGGTTTCAGAATAACAAATAACTATCAACTTTTTTTGCACAAGAAATATTGAAATCTTTTGTTTAAATGGTTGAAGCAAAAAAGTTAAAAGTTAAAAGAACAAAAACATATACGAAAAAGTCAAACTACTTTACTGAAATAAAACTTTCTTCCAAAATATGAAATGACTTGATATACTTTCAACATAAAATGTTAAACAAAACAAACTATAACAATAAATCCTTTTTCAAATTTACTATTTTTTAAAGCTGTTTCAACAACATTATTCAACAACATTATTACCCAGCTGTTCAATAAGGGTTTGCTTTTCTTTTACTTTTAGCCTGAAAGCATTGGCTTTAACTAATAACTCCATGGAACTAGATTCTTCTGCTTGAATGTTAAAACATTCAATTTCTTCATTTAGGGTAAGAATACACAATTGAAAATCTTTCTTTCTCTTTCTTACACCAATAATTTCTTCAGTGACAAGCTTTCATTTTCCAGCTT